AAAGCTGATAAGGTGACATCGGTTAAGCGGTCAAGAGGCGTCAACCTTGACCAGGAACATCCAGCAGACCCTAACTCCCCTTGCTAACCGGGTAACTGTCCATCAAGGCCGTGACGAGCTCCCTCGAGAGCTCATAGATCTTATTTCACTGAAGAATCGCACCCGGAGGAGGTGGCAACGCCTCCGAAGGGACGAGGATCGCCAACGAGTTCGGGAGCTCGAGGGTGCCATTAAGAATGGCATCAGCGAGCTTCGGAACCGTAGATGGACACAAACCCTCCAGAACCTACGTCCTCAAGACAACTCTCTATATTGCGTCACTGCCCAAGACAAGGCGGAAATTCTGGCTTCGTTCATGGAGAGTAGTCACTCCGGTCTCCCACCAAACACACCTGAACAGGAGGAAATCGAACGTACAGCGACAGCCTTTGCTATTCGGAAATACCCCATCCCCCAGCACTTGCTCGCGGAACTCATTGCTACGCCCGGCGAGATGACACGACTTATCCGCCGGCTCCCAAGCGAGAAGGCTCCCGGACCAGATCGCATCCCATATCGAGTCCTCAAAAATCTCCCGCGTAAAGTTATTGTCCAGCTGGTACAAATAACAAACGCAATCCTCAAACTTCAGCATTTTCCCTTTCAATGGAAAATGGCTGAGGTGGTTATGATCCCCAAACCTGGAAAAAACCATTTACTCCCATCCTCTTACCGCCCAATCTCTCTTCTAAACTCCTTTGCCAAGCTCGTGGAGAAGTTAATCCTGTCCAGGGTCAACAGGATCATCGAAAACTTCTTCATACTCCCAAACGAGCAGTTCGGTTTTCGCCCCCGTCACAACACCACTTTTCTTGCAGCCAAAATCTGCTGCGACACTTTCCAAGCGTTCAACAGGCGCATGAACACGACACTTTTGCTCCTGGATATGGAGCGCGCCTTCGGGTCTGGCATGCAGACCTTATCTACAAATTACTCGCAATTTTCAATTTCCCACTGCACATTATCTCCCTGATACAGTCTTTCATCAGCGGCCGCACTTTCTGCGTCAAACAAGACGACGCCCTCTCAAACTCCAAACCAATTCAGGCCGGAGTGCCGCAGGGGTCGGCACTCAGTCCGTTGCTGTACTCACTCTACACAGCGGATATGCCAAAATTCCAGAATACAAACCTGGCGTTGTACGCAAATGACACCGCTGTTTACGCTCAATCCTTTTACACACAAGCAACAAAATTTCAGCTAGCCCACCACCTCGCAATCCTTCAACCTTATTACGCTAAGTGGAAGCTTGGTGTTAGTGGTCAAAAGACTGAGCTCATACGCTTCCACAAGAAGCATACCAATAGCACCATGCCCACCCCACTTATCGTCAATAACATTCCAGTTACTCTGTCCCCAAAGGCCAAATACCTAGGTATCATCTTTGATCACAGAATGAAAGTCCACCACCACGTCTCCCACGCTTTGGCTCGCACCTTCAGTGCGCAGCAGAAATTGTACCCTCTCATCGGTCCCAACTCCCCCCTAACGCCAGGTAACAAACTCGCAATATATAAACAGGTCATAAGACCTATGCTCACCTATGAGGCCCCTGTCTGGAACATAATCTCACGAACGCAGAGGAACCGCCTCCAACGATTTCAGAATCGTATACTGAGGGGAGTGCTGTCGGAATCCAGGTACGCCAGAATAACGGATATGCATGAGCAAACATCCATTCCGATTATATCTGACTACCTGGATGAAATCAGCGACAAGTTTTATAGACATCAAATTCATGGCTCCCCTCTAACCCGCAGAATGACTGCACAAAGATATGATCCAGACAACCCCATAGTACACGGTCCGCCTTACAAGAATCTACCTATCTATTTTGAACACCTCCCTATCCTAAACCTGCTAATCACAACCCCAAGTAAAAACCCAGACCAATGCACAGCTAAAATCCTATCGTCAAGACAGAATTAGACAAGTATGCGCTGATACCATCTGCAGGAGGCTCTGGCAATCCCAACAAAGGTCTAATTTCTACCATCTGTTCTTCGGAAAATCCAACTGGTCAGCGATCTAGTGTGTAAACATCTCCTTTATCGCTGGCTATGCGGAAATGCACTTGTCTAATTAAACATCGGACAACCTCAATCATACTTATGCAAAATTGCCCAATTTAGCTGCAAATGCATATCCCAATCCCGGTAAATTCTTGCACCCAATCCTCCCAACCCTCATTCTCTGACATCCCTCACAAACTTCCTCCACCTGCACCCAAGCCATTACCTAGAGACTCATCACGCCTCAGGATTGGTCGGGGTGCAGGGCTGTCGACCCCATTTTATCCAAACCCGCGCTCACGCGCACAAACCCCTAGCTCACACTTTGCTGTTGAGGTAGCGTCCATGAGGGAACATATCGCCCTACGGGGCACTATTTTTTTGTTTTGTTTTTACCTATATTATTAAGTTAATTGGAAGTGGGGTTTTTCGAAACTTTTTCCAACAAGGAGGGCGCTGCGCGCTCGACAGCTCATACCAAGCATCAGCCCCTATTTTTTGAGCAGGCCAGTATAGTGGCAAAATGTGCGGCATCCGTGGTATTTACCAACGACATGTAAGGTCACATAATAACGTTAAAGGGCAACCAGGGAACGTTGAGAGCGGAACCAAATGGTTTGTCGGCCAGAACATCGGCCAAGCTGACAAATAGTGTCACAAAACGCGCTATGCGCGCATGTGACTCGCAGTGTGCTGCGCACACTGAATATTAGTTATGTCATGTCCTTATAGTAAGAGAGCCGGCGATATTAACGGGTATGTGATCGTTGCAATAGATAATTTTCACATAAAAGAATAGCTCATAGTTACCTTTAAACTAAATGGATGGGTGGCCTCGATTCTCATGGCCGCAACCCTTTGATGGCTGGGCGTAAACTACCTCTCTTTTTCCGAAGGAACAATGTTATCGTTGCAATAGCTGAAAATTGGTAGATATATTCTTTAATATGTGTTCTCAACTAATATATAGGGTGGACTCGATTTTGATGGCCGGAAATGATGGCAACCCTCATTGAAAATCGAGCGCACGCGTTATTTTGCTTGCTAAATACAAATTTTTGAAAGTGACAGCCTTCAAAGTCACTTTCAAAGTTAAAAGAGGACTCTGTGAAGAGGATTTTGCTTACGGCTATAGGTCTTTAGACAAAAAAAGAAACATGAAATTTTGGTAATAAAATGTTTGCCGCAAATGATGAAAACCCCTACATCGCAAGGTACTTCTCATTTGTTGCGCTTATGGTTCTTGAAGTATCTTTTTATAAAACAACTTTACGGCCATGAGAATCCAGGCAACCCATCCATTTGGTTTAAAGGTTACTATGAACTATTGTTTTATGTCGAAATTATCCATGGCAACGATCACATACCCGTTAGTATTGCCGGCTCTTGGATTATTAGTATTAGTAAATGTTATATGTATTTTTGTCTGAGGGGGGCCTCACCCTCCTACCCCCATATGTAACTTGAATTTGGTAAATAAAGAGATTTTGAGTTTGAGTTATTCGGTCCGCCATGTAATCCAGCTGATAACGATCTCTGATGGACAGAATGAAGTCACGCAAGTTATTTCCAAGGGACGTTTTATAGCAGTCGCAATCAGTATTCCTTGCGTTTCTGTACTCCACGGCCTGCCGTAGGCCTGTGTTTATTTTAAATCGTACCTGCAATGTTGCTCATTTTTTCATTTTAAAATTACCTTGCTCACAATACAAATTTCTATCAAATATAGATGTCAAGAGAAGTATTACAAAAATTGTCAAATCCTAAAAGATTATGAAAATAAAATTGAACCTATAAAATAACCCATATAAGTGAGGTCACATGCAATGTGCTCTGGAGCGAAAAAAAAAAAAAGTGCAGCCGAACTGCTTGCTATGCAGCGAAAATAAATGGTATTTGAAAGCAAAGCAAATATTTTCCAACCGCGAACAAATTCATTCGTTTGTAACTGCATTAGATCAGACATCATTTTGGAAAAGCGGAGTTCGAAATTAATTCGTTTTGCAAACCGCAACTCTGAAACTATTTTACTGTAGAAGAATTTTTGGTTGTCCCGAAAATCCTGTAACCTCATGCTGCCTAAAACAATTCCCGGCATGTTTTAAAACTGGGCTCGCTGTATGAATATTTACGACTGCTGACTTATGGAAATTAATTTCGATTAAAGGTTAATTGCGTTATTATACCGGCAAGCTGTTTTTACATAAATTCGATATTCTAAAAGAATATTCACTTGACTCAAATGATTTTGCTTTTCAAATAATAATCCAGAATATAAGACGTGCCTAAAATGTTAACAAGCTAACCTAAACTATAGTTGCTCTTCAATCACGATTCGCAAATATTTAGATTTCTTATTATGCATGATTATCTTTTAAAGCATTTTCGTTCGCCCGGTGCATATTTTATTTTGATAATAATCAAGTCACTTCTACCGCGTCTATAAAGAAAATTTCCATACAAAAGGAGCTTAATTGGGTACAGAAGCTGCAGTTACTGCACCATAATCCTGTTTTTCCTACAAACGAGGTTAGTTTGCCTTGTGTATTTTCCAAATCGCTAATTTATTTTACGGAGCAGCTCTCTCCTCGCTTTGTCATCGAGTCACGGAGACGGATAATTAAGACGAATTTATATAATTTAGATTAGAGATTAGGAGAGTCTTTGAATGGAATTTGTTTAGTATTCGCACTTGCATGCAAAGGAATATTTCAAGAAGAATTTTGAATCAATACTACGTATAATCGAATCGTGCTAGAAATCATTAGACAATTTACTGTCATTGTCGAGAAATCTTCGAAAATTCCCCTGGGGTTTATTGATAAGACCCACCATCGAGAATCTGCAAACTCAATAATACATTTCAATAATAATTACGAGAAATTGTGGTATATTTCCGCAGGGAATGAAGTATTTCCCTCTTACTAAATATATATTTTTTTTTTTCAGTGGTATATGTTGGCCATAGTGTACATATACAACCGATGGACGAAGAGCGAAATCAAATGTTTCGTCAACGGCCAATTAGCGTCCAACACCGAAATGGCCTGGTTCGTTTCCACTAATGACGTAAGTAAATTAAATCCGGCCCCCGTCCATAACTCTGTGTTTACGTCCGTCTGTGTATCTATATACAGTTGTATATTTCGAATCCTTCAATTTGCGATTTATTGAACCAATGCTGTTTACCTTTTGCCGTAGGCTAATGATAAATCAATTTGAAATTTGGACGGTATAGATATTTGTTTATTTTGCGATGAAAGTATTAAAAAGGAAAATTTAACTTCGATATCGTCCAAATTAAATTCCACCCTCTCAATTGCTACAAACCATACAGTTTGCATACTACTTAGCGTACTCTATTTGTGGAAAAGGGTTTATATTTTAATGTGCCCTCTATTTGCCCAAATCTTTGTCCCCTTTTAGCAATTTTACAGTCGTTGCCTGTTCAACTTGCTTGGCAAACCCGTAAAATAGAGTTTTAAGTTGATGTTCGATGTTTGTAGCTTACTTATTTAGGAATAAGTTTGAAATTTTCAGAAATTGTAGTCGTCTACCAGGATAAGATTCGCTGATAATTTCAGCTTCCTATCTATGAGATTTTGTCTTCAAATGATCATTAACATGCACTTTTTCCAAATTAAAAGTCACCATTTTTAAAAACAATAAATATATTCACTATCATTAATAAGTAGTCATTAGGTCAGGATTGTTGTCGCCATATTCTAACCACTTGTTCTTATAAAATTCCCAAGACTTTTGTTTAGGATTAACTGCCGGTACCATTGACTCATTTATCGACATGTAATTGAAATTTGAGGCAGTTGCATTGAGGGGGTGCCAAATTGTGTTATTGAAGTGTGGAGTGGGATCGCTTCAATTGGAACAACAATTAATAATATTTCACTAAAATAAATGGACATTCACTTACCATTTCTTAACAAAATTGCTCCAAAGTTTCACCAAAATTTCGGACACTTTGATGTCAGTTGGATCAGTTTTTCTTTCGTTGGCATATGTGAAAAAATAACCCAAATCTTCCCCATGTGCAACTCCCTTGTAAAGTTTTTCGGTTTTGCTTTCATATCCAAAAACGTAACAATATACTTTTGTCCAAAAGGACATCAATGTAGCAGCTTGCCTGATACCTCTATCGAATTGATCTACAGACATTAGCTAGAAAAACATAATTAATATGCATATTATTAAACTTAAAATTTCCCACCTCGATAAACCTTTCGTCCGAGATAGCGATGAGAAGTCCGTTGAAAAAAAAGTTTTCTATTTCCCCCCCTACAAAAATCCTCTTATTTACATCTTTCGTCATGCTATGAGGGGCCCAATTGTGCATGACAATGTCGTAGTATATCAAGACGGGTCTCAATATTGCTAGAAGAAAATGTATTAGCGACATTTATTCATTTCCTATCAATTTCAGCAATAAATCCAAAAGTTGCACCTTCGTTACTATTCGTCCTCATCATTACAGGCACCTGCATAAAGTTCCCTTGACTCAATGCATAACAACTAGGTTCAGTTAGAACAGCTCCGGGTGCGGCAAGTTCCATTACAGGACCCCACTGCGTTTCTCTAAGAGGGTTTTCTATTTAAAGCTACAAAAAAAAAAAATGATGGTCAAAAAATGGAACATTTTTATTAGATTTAGGTAGGGCAAATAGATTTACCAAATTAGATGATACTGCAGCTGCTGAATGAAGCGTATAAGCATCTACAGTTCTGAGTCGTTCGATCAAATAAGTATTGTTTAGGGTAATGATTCCTAGGGCGACGGCTAATGATGCCGAATACTCAGAAGCTCTGGTATTTAGGCTCCACAAATTTGCGCTCGTGCCGCTGTTCATGATTGCTGCACGGAATAGTCCTGAAAATTTGTATAGAGGAATTGCAAATATTTATACTACTCTTTCCTAAAACTGATGTTTCCCTTAATAAACAATTTGATTTTCAATGGAATTGGTTTATAAAAATCCAAAGGGTGTGATCGTTTCCCACTGGTTTTTGTTGGAAAGTAGATGTGACTTCTTCAATTTTCCTCTTTATATTTTTGTATTTGGAACCATCATTGTTCTTCTTCTCAAAATTTCTCAGTGACCTATTTCTTTTTTTTTTCTCGGACTCTAGATGCTTCTAATTGTTGAATAATCTGATATTCATATCAATGAACCAAAAATTAATACCCCAAAATTTCTTAACGTGATTTTATTTCAGAAACTATTGAATCCAAATGAGCTGAAATTTTCAGGGATTGTATTCCTCCACTAGGATGAGAATCGCTGAAAATTTCAGCTTTCTATCTCTAATAGAAAAAAAGTTATGATCTTTCAAAGTTGTCAAAGATCTAAATCATAAGGTACCTACCTTAGTACTAAAATGATGAAATTTCAAATTTTTTTATGTCGAGATTTTGTGTCTATATGATCATTTGGAATCCCCCAAACTCCATATATTAAATTGTTCTGAGATTTGAAGCCAGATTCTATGAAAAAAGTGACTCAGAAAAATTGATAATTTACCCCATATTGCTTAACGCGATTTTATTTCTGAAACTGTAATTCCAAATGAGCTGAAATTTTCAGGAATTGTAGTCCTCCACTACAGTAAGAATCGCTGAAAATTTCAGCTTTCTATCTCTAATAGAAAAAAAGTTATAATCTTTCAAAGTTTTCAGAAATCTAAATCATAAAGTACCTACCCGAGGGGTGGTTAACTGGTCAAAATCTGTGTACAAGTTGGTCAAAATCACAGAAAATCTCATAAAATCTACTCAAAATCCCTAAAAATCTTTGAAATCCTTAAAAATTTAACAAAATCTCTTGAAATTGCACAAAATCTAACAAAATTGCATTAAAACCAAAAAAAATCCTGCAAAATCTCATAAAATCATTAACATTCCTAAAAATATTTTCCTTGAAATTCCCAAAAATTCTTTGAAATCCCCAAAAATCTGTTAAGTCTCTCAGAATTCCATAATTTAGTGAAATTTCGAGGAATTTCTTAGAATTATGTTATTCTGAAAAAGGAATTACATTGGAAATTTTTGCGGAGTTTCCATGGAGTTCTTATTAAATTTTAGTTCCTCTCGAATTACATGAAATTTCAGGGAAATTTCGATTGAATTACACGGAATCCTAAATGAATCGCATGGAGGAATTCTAAATAATTATATGAACTTCCACCGAAATTCCCAATTTTAGTAAAATTCCAGAAAATTCCACAAGTGGAATGTCGAGGAATTTCCGGCTAAAAACATGGAATTTCGGTGATATTCCCAAAAATTCCCATGTAATGACATGAAATTTCAATATATTCCGGTGAATTTTCAAGAAATTACTTGAAGTTTCATTAATATTCCCAGAAATTCCTGGCTATTAAAAGAGAATTTCAGTGAAATTTCTTATGAAAATAAATCAAATTTCGAAAAATTCCTTGAAGTTTCATTGAACATCTGAGAAATCTTCGGCGGTGAACGTAGAATTTCAAAATATTCTCATAAAATTTTACTGAATTCCGAGGAATTTTCAAGAAATTACATGAAATGTCAATAAAATTTTGTGGAATTCCAGGATCTTTCAGTTATAAAATTTTGGGGAATTTCAGTAAAGTGAAAAAAAAAAAATTATGTAATTTTGAAATTGAAATTTTAGTGGAATTCCGAGGAATTTCATTAAATCGTATACTGTAATTCTGAAAAAAAATTGTCTAAGAATTCCATAAAATCTTCTGATGAAATGTTAAGGAATTTCTAAGGAATTACTAAAAATTTTCGCGGTATTACTATGGAATAACTTGAAATTTTAGTGTAATTCCGAAGATTTCATAGTGTAATTCCGAGGAATTTTTGTTCAAGAATTCCATTGAATTTTATTGTGAAATTCCATGAAATCCTATGATGAAATTTGGAGAAATATTATAAAATCTTATAGTAAAATTTTTAGGAATTTCCGTTTTCCCATTCAAATTTACAATTTGAATGCAATTTCAAGGAATTCCATAAAATCTTCTGGTGAAATTCTAAGAAATCTCTATGAAATTAATTAAAATTTTCACGGAATTCCCATAGAACATAGAATAACTTGAAATTTTAATGGAATTCCGAAGAATTTCATGAAATCTCTTAGTGTAATTCCGAGGAATTTTTGTGTAAGAATTCAATTAAATTTTATAGTGAAATTCCATAGAATCTTATGATGAAATTCGGAAAAGTATTATGAAATCTTATAGTTATATTTCTAGGAATTTACGTTTTTCCATTCAAATTTATCAGTTGAATGGAATTTCGAAGATTTCCATAAAATCTTCTAGTGAAATTCTAAGAAATCTCTATGAAATGAATTAAAATTTTCACGGAATTCCCATAAAATAACTTGAAATTTTAAGGGAATTCCGAAGAATTTCATGAAATCTCATAGTGTAATTCCGAGGAATTTTTTTGCAAGAATTCCATTAAATTTTATAGTGGAATTTCATAGAATCTTATGATGAGATTCGGAAAAGTATTATGAAATCTTATAGTTAAATTTCTAGGAATTTACGTTTTTCCATTCAAATTTTATCACTTGAATGGAATTTCGAAGAATTCCATAAAATCTTCTGGTGAAATTCCAAGGAATTTTTATGGAATTGACTAAAATTTCCGCGGAATTCCCATGGAATAACTTGAAATTTTACTGAAATTCCAAAGAATTTCATGAAATCTTATATTGTAATTCCGAAGAAAAAAATAATTCAAAGAATTCCATTGAATTTTATGGTGTGAAATGTGACATTTTTGCGAAATTTCCATAGAATTCACATTTAATTTTAGTTCCTCTCGAATTACATGAAATTTCGAGAAATTACATGAAATTTCACTGAATTTTTGATGAAATTTCATGAAATCCTGAATGAGTTGCATGGAGGAATTCTAAACAATTACATAGAATAACACCGAAATTCTTAACATGAAATTTCAGTGCTCGTTAAATTACATAAAGAATTTATAAAAAGTTTCAAAAAATTACATCGAATTCGAATTACGTCGAATTATATATGGAGCTCCAATGAAATTGCATGAAATTCCAAGGAATTGTCAGGGAATTACATGAAATTTAAGTGGAATTTTGAACAACTCTTATCGTTTCATAAGAAATTCCAGTGAAATTCCAAAAAATCCCAATGTAATTAATTACATGAAGTTTTATTTTTATTCCCATAGTTAAAAACATGGTATTTTAGTGAAATTGATATTCCGAAAAATTCCTATCGAATAACTGAATGTTAGTAAAATTAGAGAGAATTTCACAAGTGGAATTTCCGGCTAAAAACTTACAATTTCGGTGAACCAAAAAATTTCCATGTAATGATATGAAATTTCAATATAAACTAGTCAAAACGAAATAAGGACCACTTTTGAAAACCAATTTATTTTTAATGAATTTTGAATAACCCTGGTAAAGTGTTTATTTGCATTCACAATATAAATTTTTTATGCACACTTTATTTGTTTATCTATATTTATTGTAAATGGAAATGTCACTTTACCAGGGTTATTCAAAATTTAATGAAAACCCTGCTCTTTAAAGTGGTCCTTATTTCGTTTTGAGTAGTATATTTCGGAGGAATTTCGGTCAATTTTGAAGAAATTACTTGAAGTTTCATTAATATTCCCAGAAATTCCTGACTATTGAAAGAGAATTTCGGTGAAATTCCGAAAAATTCTTATGGAACTAAATGAAATGTTGAAAAAAAAAATGAAGTTTCATTGGAATTTCGAGAAATATTCAAATAATAACGTAGAATTCAATGAAATTTCAAAAAATTCTCATAAAAATTTTAGTGATATTCCGAGGAATTTCTAAGAAATTATAGGAAATGTCAGTGAAATTCCGAAAAATTTTATGAAAATTTTGTGGAATTCCAGGATATAGCAGTGGTGAAGTTTTTGGAAGTTTCAGTTTAAAAAAAATTATAGAATTTGGAATTTCTATAGAATTTTGGAAAATTTCAGTGGAATTTCGAAAAAAAAAAAAAGAAAATGAAATATTCGCAAAATTTCCATCAAATTATATGCATATAATTTCATTTTGTGTTGATTTACATAAAATTTCGATAAAATGTCGAGTAAAATTCCAAGGAATTCTCATCGAATTACATCCATGGAATTCCTTGAAACCCTATTGTGGAATTCCAGTGAAATTACATGAAATCCGAAGAATTCCCTTGAAATTAAACAGAATTTCCGTGGAACTTCCATGGAAACACGAGAAATTTTCGACAGAATTCTGAAGAATTGAATTAAATTTTAGTGAAATTCTGAGTAATTTCTGTCGAATGACATAAAATTTTAGGTGGAATTCCGAGAAATTTCATGATACCTTTTACTGTAATTCCGAGGAATTTTTGTATAAGAATTCCATTGAATTTTAAGGTGGAATTCAATGGAATCTTTTGGTAAATTCGGAAAAGTATTATGAAATCTTATGGTAAAATCGAGGGTAAAATTTCTAGGACTTTTTTTTCTATTCAAATTTGTCATTTGAATGGAATTTCGAGGAATTCCATCAAATGTTCTAGTGAAATTTTATGGAATTAACAAAAATTTTCGCAAAATTCCCATGAAATAACTTGAAATTCTAGTGGAATGTTGAAGAATTTCATGAAATCTCATATGTAGTGCAATTCCGAGGAATTTTTGTCCAAGAATTCCATTGAATTTTATGGTGGAATTCCATTGAATCATATGATGAAATTCGGAAAAGTATTATGAAATCCTATACCTAGATAAATGTCTAGGAATTTCCGTTTTTCCATTCGAATTTAGAATTTCTAAAAACTTTTCAAAAACCCTTAAAATGCTCCAGAATCACCTAGAATTTTGAAAATCTAAAATCTTCTGAACTCCTGTAAAATCGTGTAAAGATTTTCAAAATTCCCAAAATCCTACAAAATCAATTAAGATATAAAATATATGTTCATTTTTTTATAGAGTTAACTAAACATTGGAGCGGTTGATTGGTCAAAATCTATATACAAGTCCAGAAAAACTTGTACACAGTGTACTTAAAATTCCTGGAAATCATTAAAAATTTAACAAAACTTCACAAAATCTCTTTAAAATCACTTGAAATTGCATCAAATTTCACAAAATCACACAAAATTTTATTAGAACAAAAAAAATCTGACAAAATCTTATAAAATCATTAATATATGTATTCCTAAAAGAAAGTTCCTTCACGCTTCGTCTTCTGTACTAAGAAATCCATAAACCCCTAGCAAAATACACTATAAATAAAATTCTATTTAAGTAATTCACAATTATTGAGATTTACCAAGTCGATAGTTGAAGGTTACAAACACCAAACCTTGTTCCAGAAAATCGTCCGGCCCGTATAAATAATAACTACAATTTCCTATTGAGAAGGCTCCACCGTAAAACCAGACTAGTACTGGTAAATCTGAGGCATCATGCTAAAGAATATCAAGTTATTTGTTGATTTTTAGTTTTGTTTTAAAATTACTAACAGGAGAATACACGGTCATGTGTAAACAATTCTCATCTCCTACTGGTTGACCTGTTAAAGACGATTGCACACATTGAGGTCTATCAAAAGTAGCATCGTAAATATCAGACCATGAGGATTTTTTCACTGGGGCCTAAATCAAAAGTTGCGTTTATGGATAATATTGTCTATACGTGAATATACTTACAGCAAAACGTAAAGGGCCCACTGGAGGTTAAGCATAAGGGATGCCAACAAATTTGTGATAAGGGTGGTTATTTTTTATTGTCCTTTGGACGAGGCCTTTTATAATTCCATCGGAGATGCGTTTTTAAAACTGTCTATAAGAATTTTTGTTTCAAAATTTTAAAAAATTGTTAAATAAAACTCACCTCTTGTCCCAAACACCAGTTTGCTGCAACTATTTATAAACGATGATTTGTTTTAACATTTTGCGTGTCGATGTTCGTCAGGCATACAATAATACTTAGAGCTTTTATATGAAAAAATTATTAACTACTATTTTGTATATATTTTTTAAATATTTAACCTCTATAAAAAATATGAGCAAACAATAATAATATTTATTTTTATTTCCTTTTATATACATATTGTTTTAAATACTTATATAAACAAAAACATAATAAATTTATAAAATATTTCAATAATAAACATTAAATTTATTAGAAAAAATGGACTCTTGATGATTTCAACTTTGCGAACATATGCAAAATGATCATTGAGGAAATAGTAATAATTCTTCAAAGAATATAAAGTAAAACTTCAACTTGCATAACCATTGAAATCTACAATAGAGCCAGATATTCAATAAAAACCCAATTATTTCCAGCCTTTCGACAAATGCTACATCGGTGCTACACCGGAACTAGACGAAGAACGAATATTTTGCGGTCAAATGTCAGCCATTTACCTTTTCAGCGAAGCCCTGACGACCCATCAAATATGTGCGATGCACCGATTAGGTCCTGGGTATAAAGTAAGTTTGGAAAATGCCTATAAGCCGTTGAAATAAATCTCTTATTTGTTTTGTAATTTTTCCAGAGTCAATTTCGCTTCGACAATGAGTGCAACATAAATTTGCCAGACAATCACAAAAGGGTGAGTGACAGTAGTGAGGATAGTTCACAAAGCATGGTTGTTATTACAGCATCAGATGCACGAACAGTAAGATTTTTTTTTTTTTTTAGTTCTTATTATTTTATTTTATTTAGTCTTAAGAAGTTTCTGAAACAGTCTTTTCAAGCACGACACATTAAATAAAAAACACCCTCTATATACACTGGGAACCAAACTATATAATTTGGAAAACTGTATGCAGAAAATTTTTGAAAATTTGACAGTAGGTATACTAATGTCAACGGAGGCAACTCGGCTAAAATATTTTTAAGATGGTGGCATATACCGGAAGTACACTTCAACTTTCATATTTCAACTGAGACACCCTGTATGTAATTACATATTTGGTTACGGTTAATTTTAGATTTTAGATTAGATTTTCATAAACTATCATTTGACATCAACTTTGAATTTAACCGGAGATTAAATTTATTTGGAATTTTTAATCATGGATTAAATTTGGGTGTAAAATGATAGTTTCATATATTATAAGGGTACCCCCTTTAAATTCTAATTTCAAAATATTCAAACCTCAATTGCTCAGTAACCTGTTACGGTATGATTTTTCCTGGGTTAAAATGAAAGGAAATAAGCATATTCGCCTCAATGAATAGCATACCTTCGTCAAGCCACTGTTGTCTTTTCAATAGTTGTGGCCAAACTTTTCATCAAACTTTTAATTTTTCCCAGAATCATTAAGTTAGAGGTTTATTAATGGAATTGATTTTCTGTTAGTACTTAGTAGGGTTAAAATAAATAGACAATTAATTTATTAATAAAACAAAATCACAATATTTACACTAGAACAGCTGATTGTCTGATCGGAGTAGATTGACTAGATTGACAGCGCTCCAAATAGGGTCAATGACCAGTACTAACTTAATTTGAATAAGTACCATGCCCCAACTACCATCAAAATCCCCAGTACCTTCCACCTTGGAGTTTTGACAGAACCTTTTTAAAGGACATTGCAGGGACAATCAGAGGTCATTCAGGTCGAGGACTTTCCACGATTAAGTGTTCGGGAAAACTTCTCAGGCACATTTTGCCGATTTCTGAGTTGCCAAGTTTCGCTCATAGATCTAGGGTGGCTAATCCGCTATTTTAGCACCCAATCGCCTTGTGCAGATTTTTTTTGTGAGTCGAAAAATAGCAACGTGGTCAATTGTTTGTTCCTAAAGGCCAAAAGTGATTTTGTTAAGTGGTTTTTCTTATTAGCCTTCTCTGTGTTTCTCTATTGCCTGTGTAAAAGCATAATTTTCTGTTAATAATATGGTTGAATTCCGAATATTGGACATACCTACCTATTGCTCTACGCCCTGTCTCATAACGTCCATTTGTTTCAGGCCTTTATTCATCACCTTTATCCTCAGTCTTGGACGTTACGTTTTAATCGTCACCTTTTATTCGTTACTCTTAGTCCTTAACTTGAGTAAAGAGTTAAACGTTGAGCGTACTGTGTGTTTCAAGTAGTACCTCGAGTCTTCAGCCCCCTCTGGACCATTGGAAGCTTTAGTGACCCCTACTTACCGCGATCTTCAGTGCCCAGGGTCAGTTGCTTCTTGTCGCGATCCTGATCCAGTTCCAGGCCATCGGAAACACTGGCAGATATTAATCCCATCCGTAAAGGTTCCCCCAAGAGTTCAGGGACTACTCAGATTTGATAAGTGTATTGTGTTGTCGTAATAACAAACCTTACCAACCCCTTGTTGGAGTGAATCACCACAACAACGTGGTTCTGCAACATTATTGAATTATCCTTCAGATTATGTGTTGTCATTTCAATTTCTAATTTAATTCTCTTTATTACCTTTTTTTTTTTGTTTATGTAACTTACCCCTCAGGTAAGGTATTGTTAAGTACTTCAATTTTATTAGGTATTTAGGTATCTATACTACCTATATTGTTACATATTATTAAAGCCCTTCAGGTTACATATTGTTGCTTCAACTTTAATTTCATGCTGCACTAAATACAGGTAAATACTTGTACACTGGGATTAAATGGCCATTTACAAAGGTACTGCATTTAGTGAGCTTGTCCATTAATTATTTATATATTTATATTTCAGGTATTATTGTTTAATTTATTGTAAATACTATTTTTAGAGTATATAGGTAGTACCTAACCTAGTTTCTAGACGATTTCTTTTCGTCTCCGAACCTGATCTGGAGTCAGACCTATTCTGTTCTGGTGCTGATTAATAACCCGTACCTGATTGTAGCAAAGCGTTTCACTTTTTTTTCCTTCTTCTTGTTTATATTTCAGGTTGTGCTGCTATAGTTCCGTAGAAGTTTCCTGCTTTCGTTATATCGGTTGATTTCGTGTACTGCAGGAAAAAAGTAGGTGGCGCTCTATATTTAGTTAATTAATTAACCCACACCACTCTCCGTATTGGAAGCTAGTCGGCAACCCTATACACGAAATCACTTTTCTAGATTTCAGCCACCAGCCAGCCCTTTCTTTCTATTCTTTCTGTTATAGTTACCCATTCTCTGTCCCACTTCCTTCAAGTTTCATTAGTTACTTCTCCCTCCCGTTTTGTGCCACGTAACAAATTGGCACATAACAAACCGTTGAACAAATTGCATTGAAATTTTCAGCATTTGTAGCTTTTATTTAGCTCTAATTAGCCTGTTATTTTACAATATTCCCAGATTTATAGTTTTTGAGCAAATTGAGTTTAAAGTTTTTGACAAAATTTGGAATAAAAGTCAACTTTACGGGTTAATTGCTCAAAAACTATTTAAGCTATTATACTCAATTTTACACGGATTTATAGAGAATTTAATGCTCTTTCCAATGATATATAATTTATTTTAATTTCCTCGAAATTTAACAAAGATATGGGCAATTTGGGCAGAATTTCATTTAAATTATGAGAAATGTTAAAAAAATTATGCGAAATTATATTGTAATTTCTTTTAGATTTTCCAGTTATGACATGGAATTCTATTAAATTTCATTAAAATATCTGAGAAATTACAATTAATTTTAACAAAATTACATAGAAATTATGCGGAATTCCCTAAAATTTATGCGGAATTTCATTGAATTTCAAATAAGTATGCTAAATTTTATCAAAATTATGCGGAATTCGAGTGAAATCAAGAGAGTAATGACGTAAAATTCCAAAAAAAAAAATAATTAATTTCAGAAAAATAACATGGAATTCTATAGAAATTTTTGCAAAATTCTGTAGAAATTATGCGAAAATGTATAGAAATTCTGCGGAATTTCAGTTAAATGAAATAAAATTAAATGAAATTCTGTAAAAAATATGCAAAATTTTATTGAAATTATGAATTTCATAGAAGAAAAAAAAATTGTTTAATTTTAAAAAAATTACATAAACTTCTATAGAAATTAGGCAAAATTCTAAAAAAATTATGCGAAAATTCAGTGAATTTAAATTGAATTCTGGGAAAATGGCGTAGGATTCCAAAAAAATCGTTAAGTTTCAATTAAATAACATAAAAACCCATAGAAATTATGCAAAATTCCATAAAAATTATGCGAAATCCCATAAAAACTATGAGAAATTCCATTGAAATTATGCTGAATACCATGGAATTTTATACAAAGAATGCAGAATTTCATTGAAAATATGCCAAATCCCATTGAAATTATGCGGAATTCTAGTGAAATTAAATGAACAACGACAGAATTCCAAAAAAACCGTTGAGTTTCAAAAAAATCAGAATCCCATAAAAATTTTGTGGATTTTAGTTGTATGGAAATCCATGAAAACTATACGAAATTTCATAGAAATAATGCAAAACTCCAAAGAATTTCTGCTGAATTCTATAGAAAATATGCAATATTCTAAAAAAACTATGCAAACTATGCGGAAATTACGTGGAAATTATACGGAATTTCATAAAAATTATTAGCAATTAAATAAAACTCGAGTAAAATTTAATAAAACCCCAGAGATACGACGTAGAACTTCAAACAAAAATATGTGGAATTCCGGTAAAATTACGAAATTCCGATGAAATTTCATCAATTTTCCTGAAGTTCCAAGTAACTTCTCCAAAATTCGTGAAATTCCAAAAAAAATATGATATTATTTGAAACTCCTGTGAATTTCCAAGGAATTCCTGTGAAATTTCTTGCAATTACAGAAAATTTCCTTGAACTTACATGGATTTTTAGTAGTTTTTCAGAGAACTTTTATGGAATTACAAGGATTTCTGGTGTACAATTTATTTTATTTTTTTCAATTTATTAAAAAGAAAAAAAAATCCATTATATTTCAGAAATCTTGATACCGTCGTTACGGTTGCGCTGAATTTTACCTTATACTCCAAAATTCAGGCAAATTTTTATTAATCAATTAATAATAATTATTGAAATTTGAAATAACTAATAAGTAATAAACTACTAACAATTTACTCAAATATCAAAAATCCTGCGAAATTATTTGGGATTCCCGTGGAATTACGTGAAATTCCGATAAAATTCCATTAATTTTCCTGGAATTCTAGAAAATTCCTGTAAAAATCACATGAAGTTTTAAATAATTCTTGTAAAAGTTCAGTGAAATTATGTGGAATTTCGAAAAAATTCCAATGTAATTCCATCTATTTTCCAAAATAACCACGTATTTCTCCCGAAATTCCAAGTTATTCTTGTAAAGTTCCAAAAAATTCCCGTAAAAATTACATTAAATTTTCATGCAACTTTGAAAAAATCTTGTGAAATTATTTAGAATTTTAGTGGAATTCCGGTAAAATTAGGTAATACTGCGAAAGAATCACAACGAAATTTTCCGAGTATTCGACTCAATGCCTCCGAAATTTTAAGTTATTCTCGTGAAATTCCAGAAAATTTATATGAAATTCCAAAATATTTACGTAAAATTACGTGGAATTTTTGCTAATCCTGTAGAATTACATGGAATCCTTGTAAAATTCGAAAAAAAAAAGTCGCGTGCAGCACAGTACACGTGATAGAAGTGAATACTTATTTATCGATTCGTTGAGTGAGTGAGTGAGTGAGTGAGTGAGTGAGTGAGTGAGTGAGTGAGTGAGTGAGTGAGTGAGTGAGTGAGTGAGTGAGTGAGTGAGTGAGTGAGTGAGTGAGTGAGAGAGAGAGAGAGATGTATTGTACATATTACATTAATGCGTTAAGAACAATACTCTCTTTCATTCACTATCTCTTTCTCTCTCTCTCTCTCCCTCATATTCATCATATGCTTCATCTCACTTGCGAGACGAACATTTTATAAATCGTGTCCTGACGCGACCTTGAAAAATCACTCTCATGCGGCCAAAGAAGTATTTATTCACTTCAAAAATCCTCAAAGTTACTAGTAATTTCAGTGGAATTTTGAAAAATTTCTATGGTATCACTTGAAATTCTCGTAAAATTGAAAGAGAAAATCGAAAAAATTTCCGTAAATTACCTAAAATTCCTGTGAAATTACTTAAATTTTTTATTGAATTTCAGAGAATTTTCGTGAAATTACATGAAATTCCCGTGGAATAACTCAAAATTTAAGTGAAATTCTGAAATAACATGAAATTCTCGTGAAATTCCGAAAAGTTCTTGTGATATTACTTAATACTTTTGCAATATTCCTGTAGAGTGAATCGGAATTTTAGTGAAATTTAAAAAAAAAAATGTGAAATTCCAGAAAATTTCTTTAAAATTGTTTGGAATTCCCGTGAAACTGAAAAAAAAACCCTTCCTATACAGAATAACTAGAAATTCCATAAAATTTCCATGAAATAATGTACTTGAAATTTCATTAAAATTCCGAAAAAATCCTGTAAAATTACTAGAAATTCCAAAAAATTCTTGGGTAATTTCACTGAAATAAAATTACTTCAACTTCTTCTGAAATTATTTGAAATTCTAGCAAAATTTGCCTTTGAAATAAATCAAAATTCGTGTGAAATTCCAAAAAAAAAAAAATCGTGAAATTATGTTTTAAATTTCAGCAAAATTCCAAGGACTTTTTATGAAATAACTCAGAATTTCAGTGGAATTCCAAAAAAAAATTACGTGAAATGATCTGAAATATTCATGAACTATCAAAAAGTAATTTGTGAAATTACATGGAATTCCAAAAAATTCCCGTGAAAATAGAGAAAATTTCTTTAAAACTAATTGAATTTGTAGTGGAATTTCGAAGAATTTTTAGGGAATTCTGGGGCCCAATTTATGAACATTCTATAATAAGAATTTCAGTAGAATTCTGAAAAATTCTTGTAAAATTACACGAAATTCTCATGAAATATCAGAAAATTCCTATGAACATTCCTGAAACATTCTACGAACATTCCCCGAATATTCTTCAAAAATTTTTCAAAAAAGAAACATGTTGAAACATTCTGTAAACATTCTTGGAACATTTTATAAACATTTCTAAAATATGCATGGCAAATTTTTCGAAAAAAAAAAAAAATGTTGAAACATTTCTGGAACATTTTTGGAACATTTTATAAACGCTGCACATTATTTTTTTTTTGCATCAAAATCGGTGGCGGCAACCTTTTACAATCGGCCGCCTGTGTGTTTTGAACACACCGCATACATGGTGGCGGCGGCCTTGTTGCCCCCATTGACATTAGTATACTGTCAAATTTTCAACAATTTTCTGTATACCTACAGTTTTTCATATATAGATCGATTTGGTTCTCGGTGGGACACCCTGTATATAAACTATACAATTTCCTTTTGTATCAAGAATTTTTACCCAAGTTAACAAGTCAGAAACCGAGGGTTGGTTTTTGAAAAATGACGTTATTGACAATCCGTAATTATCACTAGTGTGATTATATGCTAGGATTGCATATTTTATTTTTTGGCATCAGCCACTGTGAAGACACCTATCAAGGTGTCTTCACAATTATTTAGAATTCTTACGTGTTCAGATAAGGTGAAGTGTGATCTCTCAATAACACCGTTTGACTAGGTATGCTTGGGCGAGCAAAAATGTTATATATTCTGTGGCCACTGTATTTCTAAATTTAGTTCTGTTGTCTAAAATGATTTTGGATGGAACACCGTGATGTGAGAAGAACTTGGAAGAACTGTCAATAATTGTGAGAAATTTAACTTCATCTAATGTATACTATGTATCAAGGTGAATAGTTTCGAAAGGTCAGGTTGCCGTGGGTGTAATATTAATCTCCATGTTTAGTGGGTACCGTTCGTATTTACTTCGTTGGTATATTTCGCATTTATTGATGTACAACTAAATAGACTCTTTAAGATTTGGCCAGTAATACTTTTCTTTAATACGTACTTACTCTTATGGTAGTTCTTTATTATTTTCGGTATACTTTGTTTATCTACTATGTCGAATAATTTTTTTCATCAGATACAGATGAACAAGAATGACATTCAATACGGAAAATGGCCATTACTAATTTTTGCGTATGCCATTTGAGCTGAAGAACGCCCCCGCAACTTTTCAAAGGACCATGGACAGTATATTACGAGGAATCTTTTTAATTAACGAGAACATCTAATTCTAATCGACGGCCATTTGAAATTTTTCCTAACCACTTCGCTGAATGGTTCATATGTATCTGGGTTCTCAAACGACTATAGTAAAATTTACCTGGCACGTTTTCCTTTATAAAATTAGTTATATAAATTTCAAAATATCTTCTTTTCAAATAAAATCACTCGTTTTGTTTTGGCAGGTGATTGCATGACCTTTGTGATGATTATTTGATTTGCTGCATACTTAACAGTAGATTCTTTAATTGTAATTCCATTGTTCAGCATTGGTATTGATACTTTCATCATCGTCTCAAGCTGTTGGTTCGAGGTCAGGTTGCGCCATTGTTGATATATGTATTAGGTTCTCAGTCTCTTCTTTGCTGGTTGTTGGGTTATTTTCCATTCTAGCTTCTTCCTTATTGAATTCTTCAATACATGATACTAGATTTGACATATTGCCGGTTTCTTTGGTGGTATTTCAATACAACTTAGGGCGTTTGCATTTGTATTGAGTTCACCCTTTTTATAGATAATTTGATAATCAAACTTGTAGTTTGATTCGCCAACGTTTCGATTTTCAATGTGGGGTCTTGCAAGGGTTTATGGTCCGTTATGATATTGATTTTTTGTCCGTAAATGTATGGTCGAAAGTACTTCGTCGCCCAGATAAGACACAGGCACTCCTTTTCAATAGTGGAATAATTTTGTTCTGAATCATTCAAGGTGCGAGATGCGTAGGCTATTGGCAAATCTTGTCCAATGGGCCCTTGTGATAACATAACACCTAGGGCTACGTTACTAGCATCACATGTTAAGTTGAATGCCTCCGGAAAGTCTGGGTATTGTAGTATAGGTTCATTTATAAGCAATTTTCAAAACATTCGATAAATTCTTCGTTGTGTCACATTTCGTGAGGGGCTTTGTGATTCTTACAAAATTATCTATGAAACGTCTATAATATCCAAGTAGTCCGAAAAAGCCTTTAATTTTTTTTGTAGTTTTTGGAATTGGGTAATTCTTTATGGCTTTGATTTTGTCTGGATTTGGTCGCACTCCTTCTGGTGTCACTCTATAGCCTAAATATGCCAATTCTCGTCTGAGAAACTCACTTTTGTCCAATTAAATTTTGAAATTGGTTTCACGTAATCTTTGGAAAACCAATCCGAGTCGTTCTAAGTGCTCTTGTAGCGACGTGAAAAATATAATAATGTCATCGAGGTATGCAAGACATTGTTTGGATTCCTCCATGGTCCTTTAGAAAGTTGCGGGAGCGTTCTTCAGCCCAAATGGCATACGCAGAAATTCGTATCGGCCATTTTCCGTATTAAATGTGGTTTTCTCTATGTCGTTCTTGTTCATCTGTATCTGATGAAATCCGCTGGCCAAGTCCAACGTAGAATATTGACATTTTCCTAATTTGTCTAATAGGTCGGTTATATTCAGTAGGGGGTATCTGTCTGTTATGGTTTTCGCATAAACGCCACGAAAATCTACTACTACTCTTTATTTCTGCTTTCCAGAAGCATCCGCGTTTTCTTTGGAAATACCCGAATTGACTGTGATTCGACTTCTTTTTTTATGTATAAAAGGGTATCTATAGGTTCAAGCATACTATATTTATAATAAACTGAAAAGCAAAATAAGTATTTTAAATGAGGACTCAGCCAATAAACGTGATATCAGTCGTATAACACGTCACCTGTTTCAAGTAAAAGTCGCAACTTATCCAGAGGAAAAAAAAAAAAAACAAGTCATACATTCTCTAGCCAAATAATTAAATCGTAAACTTTTTGCATTGCATGGGCGAGAGGCATTTTTATTGTATCCCAGTTTTCTGCTGTTCGCCGTTTTTTTTTTTTTAGCTTTTATGCATGTTCCCCACGGAGTTGCACGGTCTCATTGTAGCCAGGAAAAAAAAAGTCACGTTTTCTGCAAACCTATACGTGAAAAATTTACAATTGTTTTACTTACGCTCCAAAAAAATATATTATCGTTCCAAAAAGCCATTTACCATAATTTCCTGGCAACTTATTACAGCTAAGACACTCCAAACAAGCTCATTTTAAAAAGGAAATTAGATATTCAAGAGGAAAGAGTTTCTCATTAATAAGGGCAACTTTATATATAAATAAAATGTAGCTAATTTTTTTTTCTTTTACAGGTATTGTACGACGGCAAACTATCCAGCGCTATTGTGTTCATGTACAATCCGGTTGCGACCGATACTCAATTATGTCTGCAATCCGCTCCCAAAGGAAATATGTCCTTTTTCGTCCACACACCACACGCGCTCATGCTACAAGTAAGTAAAATTTATATTCACTTTTAAAAGACATCAGTAATTTCTCCCTTGAATAATCGTGAAAAGATTGACAGTGGAAGGAAAAAGGAAGAAGATTCGTTTTGTAGACATCAAACGATACCGATTAATCCTTCCTGAAATGCTTAAAAGAAAAAGGGGTCGGTCTTTTCTTTTCTTTTTTTTTTATTTCAAATAACTGTCAAACAGAAAGCGATTTACTGTATATTGTTATTTATTCTGCTTGAAAAATGTCTTTATTGAAAAATGTTAATTTTTGAAAACTCATCGCCCAAATCGATCTGTAAAATTGAGTTGCTGAAATCCATTTCGGCACTAAGACAAATATTTTCATTGCCTGGATTTAATTTACATGGGAGATGGGTCGCTTTTTGAAACATTTCACTCTGAAAAAATATTTTTTTTTTGTTGTAAATTGTATAAACGAACGATTTGTTTATTTTAGGATGTGAAAGCTGTGATAACTCACTCCATCCACAGTACGTTGAATTCAATTGGCGGTATTCAAGTTTTGTTTCCGCTTTTTTCTCAACTCGACCTGCCTTTCGAATGCAACGGATCGACTGACGTCAAAAAGGACTCTGCACTGTGGTAAGTTTAAATTTTTAGCCAGAAGTTTTTGAAAATCATAACAGATGTCTCTTGAAATCTAGCGACAAGACATTCTAAATTTCGATCCTTTCTTCATTCACTTTCAAAATTTGTAAAGTGTAATTTTTTCAAGCTTCAACGGTATCTGGTGAGCTTTAGAAATGTCGATTACACCTCCATTGGCCACTTTGGCGCTTCGGACCTCAGGTTGTATTTCGGAATAATTACTGAGATTGCATATATCTGCAGCGAGGTCCCCGGCGAGTTGGCGGCTCCGGTATCGATTACAGCCCCACGTTGGGCGCCACACTATATTGTTAAATACAGATATCAAATAAAATTATTGTTTGTTGGATTTTGAGTGGTTTCACGAAGTTGTCTTCAGTTCAGACAATTATAGGCTTTCGATTTCCCTTAAGGTGCGGAAAAATGGAACCACATCAATAATGTCGCTTTTCCGAGCAGTGGCGACGCCAAGGTTTTATGTTAAGGGAGGCCAGAGACATTTTGGGGGAACACTTGTTTATAGTTAATTACTTTGCTTTGGTACCCTATTTGAATCAGTTTATATCAAAAAAGTTATGCATGCGGTAATAGCTATCACAAAAGTAGGTATAGGTAATAAACATCACCTAACTTTAATAGGAAATTCAATTAGGCTGTGACTGTTAACAAACGCCTCATGAAATCAAATTTTCACGGTGTATGTTGACAAATGCCTCATTTATTAATAAAATATTCACGGTGAATGTTGGCAAATGGCTCATTTATCAATAAAATTGTCCTGGTGAATGTTAACAAACGCCTCGTGGCTGTTTCCAACTTGAATCAATTGAATCGCGATTCGGGGCCTCAAAACAATAAAAATCAATTGAAAATGGCCGCTAATTAATTATCGTTCAATATGTTCTTGGAAAGATGAGCTGAAAATAACAATGTCATCAAGATAAACCAAACATTCCTCATTTTTAAGGCCTCTTAGGATATTATCCATTACTCTTTGAAATGTTGAGAGTGCATTTTTCAACCCAAACGGCATGCGTTTGTACTTATAATGTCCTTTTTCAATTAATTAGGCTGTTTTTTGAATAACATCATAAATTAAAATCTAAATTAATTATGCTGTGACTGTCAACAAACGCCTCATGAAATCAAATTTTCACGGTGAATGGTGGCAACTAGCTCATTTATCAATAAAATTGTCCTGGTGAATGTTAATAGAAGCTTCGTGGCTGTTTCCAACTTAAATCAATTGAGTCGCGATTCGGGGCCTCAAAACAATAAAAATCACTTGAAAATGGCCGCTAATTAATTAGCGTTCAATATTTTCTTGAATAGATGAGCTGAAAATAACAATTTCATCAAGATAAACCAAACATTCCTCATTTTTAAGGCCTCTTAGGATATTGTCCGTAACTCTTTGAAAAGTTGGGGGTGCATTTTTCAACCCAAACGGCATGCGTTTGTACTTATAATGTCCTTTTTCAGTTAATTAGGCTGTTTTTTGAAAGACATCATAAATTAAAATCCTAACTAATTTACTGTGACTGTTAACAAACGCCTCATGAAATCAAATTTTCACGATGTATCTTGACAAATGCCTCATTTATTAATAAAATATTCACGGTGAATGTTGGCAAATGGCTCATTTATCTATAAAATTGTCCTGGTGAATGTTAACAAACGCCTCGTGGCTGTTTCCAACTTAAATCAATTGAGTCGCGATTTATTTAAGGCCTCTTAGGATATTGTCCGTTACTCTTTGAAAAGTTGAGGGTGCATTTTTCAACCCAAACGGCATGCGTTTGTACTCATAATGTCCTTTTTCAGTTAATTAGGCTGTTTTTTGAAAGACATCATAAATTAAAATCCTAATTAATTATACTGTGACTGTTAACAAACGCCTCATGAAATCAAATTTTCACGATGTATCTTGACAAATGCCTCATTTATTAATAAAATATTCACGGTGAATGTTGGTAAATGGCTCATTTATTAACAAAATTGTTCTGGTGGATGTTAAGAAACGTCTCGTGGTTGTTTCCAACTTGAATCAAAGGCGTTTTCTAGCGTCTCAAATCTTTCAAAACTGGTTTAAGTAATGTCACCATGACGTCATAATTTCTCGGCTCGAGAAAATGGTTTGAAAACGTGGATTGGATTGTATTTCGAAACGGTTCGAACCTATTTTGACGTGACGTCATGGGTTTATCGCGAGAATGTACTGTTTCAAAACAGTTTTGAACCAGTTTCGAAAAAGTGGACGCGAGAAAACGCCTCTGGGCTGGGATCATGACAAGTAGAATTCCACTAGAATCCTACTTTCATGACGTTAGGTTGCCTAGTAACAGTGATCATCGCCTGTAGTGTACGCGATAAATATGTTGCAGGTGACGTCATGAAAGTAAAATTTTACTTGTCGTAGGGCTGGGATCACGACTATTTTGTCGCGTAGTATAGGCGATGATGACGGTTGCTAACGTCATGAAAATAGGATTCTAGTAAAATTCTACGTGTCGTAATCCCAACCCTGACCACACATAAAAAACGGTACGGTAACTGTCAGATGCTGACATCGTTGACATGCGCAAAACAGTTCCTGCTCGGGCGCCAAATTTGTAGTGCTACTTTGGTTTTCCAGACGGTTGAGGAGTTTTCGGGAAACTTGGGCGCCACCCTTAGGATTATAGTGGTTAAGGGCCCTCGGGCTCCAGGTAGCTTGTTACATTGGAGACGGAAAACCAGAGGTCAATATGCGCGTTTCAAAAATGAAACACACAATCCAACTAACAGATTAAAGTTTTTATTTGCCCAATAACATAGGATATAAGGAACAGTGAAAAAGCAATAAAATGAGAGACGAAGTGCGGGAAGAATGAACGAAATCGACGAAAATAACGTGTACATATTATGTACGTAGCGGAAAATCGGGGTAATAAGATAGCGGAAAAATAACGGCATCGGTAAATAGCTCCAAGGGATTACTGTTGCGGAACCGCCGTACTCTTCCCACCTTCAGCTCGTATCCCAGGAGCATTCGCGAACTATGCAACTCAGTAGGGTGCAGGTGTAAAAAAAAAGAGGACAGAATTAGAGGGGCGCGTCATTCGGTATCAGTTCGGTCAGAGACGTTTCCACTAATCCTCTACGGAGAGAATAGTGCCTCAATGCTATTCAATCCGCAGTCCAAAACATGACATAAATATGGGAATGGCAGAAATCGTTGACATAATATGCGAAATGGTGAAAACGGTCCCTGCTCGGGCGCCAAATTTGTAACGCTACTTTGGTTTTCTGGACAATTAAGAGGTTTCCGGAAAACTCGGGCGCCACCCTTAGGGTTATAGTGGTTAAGGGCCCTCGTGCTCCAGGTAGCTTGTTACAGTGGAAACAGAAAACCAGAAGTCAATATGCGCATCTCCAATATGAAACACACAATCCAACTAACAAATTAAGGTTTTATTTACCCAATAACATAAGCTATAAGTGATTGGCTTTTTAAGCGGTTTGTGCGGGGTGCATGACGTATCTTAGTATACAAAGGCATAAGGACAGAGAGAGCCACCCTGTAAACGGTGCAGCTGGTAACCCCCTCAGTTCGTCACAAGAAGATTAGGGCCACCCTGTAAACAGTTCAGCACGTAACCCCATTGAATCTGTGTATTTCCCTGTATAGCAAGAGCATCATACATGAAAGAAACGATCTGTGTGAAGTGAAGAATACTAAATATACACTGTCTGACCAAAGTTTTTCAGAACAGACTTTTTGTTGTTGTTAAGCCTGACTCACATAGGACCACATTGAATTATAAGATTCAAATTTTGAATATTCCTGGCTTCTGATGGGGTTGATTTTATATCTTGAGAGTTCATAATTCAGATCAAACCAGGAGCTGGCCCAATTCAAGAGTCGGGAATAGACAAAAGTTGAATTTTGATTTTGAAAATTCAAATTTCAAATTTGTTCTTTTTTTGCTTGGATTCTTTCCATAAGCTTAGAAAGAATTCGACTAATCCAGTCAAAACGTGCTTAACCAATCAAAAGTCCAAACCTGGATTATGAATTATAAAATTCAAATTTTGAATATATTTCTGGCTTCTGATTATTAAGTGTCAAAATCTAATAAATTTCCCCAATTTCTCATACATTTCTCCAATTTCCCATAAATTCCTTTAAATTCCCCACAAATTTCTTTCAATTCCCCACAGTTTCGGCAAAAAAATCCTAGGTTGCTTGCCCCTTGATCTTTACATACTGTAGCAGACCGCACCAAGTACTCTATGTAAATAGTTAGATAGTAAATGGCGAGCGGTATATTGAAGGTGTTATTATATACTTGGAGCTGCTATCTAAAATCTGTGGAAGGGTCTATTTGCAAGAGAGAGAAACAAACTAATGATAATTTAATATTTTATTTTACATAAAACCAAAATCAACCAAATATCTTCCAATCCTTTACATCCTCATTTATCTCTATAAAGTCAATTACTTCACATCCGTTCTAGATTGTTATTATTACGGACCACTGAAATATCCCTACTATTCCTCATAACTTATAAATTAACTCATTTCAATACATACTTCCTACTCATTCCTAATAAACTACCCTTTACCTAATTATATAAATTTTTTAAAATCTCCAAGTCCTTTACTGATTACTTAGGAAAACCCAAAATAATTACCTATTTGTTTATCAACTAACTGATTCTTATAAAACCTTACAATTACTTCTGCTTGAAAAATAAAATCCCTAATTCAAAAGTTCGGCACTTAAGATCATCAATGTCTCTTGATGAATAACAAATTTCAAATACTACTTTTCAATACGTCTAATGATAATCGTTAGAATTTTTGTCTCATGAATGACAACAGTTCTTAAACTAACCACTCCATTACATTGAATGATAATCGTCAACAATCTTGTTTCAAGCACAAGTTTCTTTTCTACACATCCCATTTCCTTTTCATCAGAACAAATTACTATCATAAGTTTCCTTTAACAACTTTCCATTATTTTAAGACAACAATTTTATTTCATGTACATCAGTTTTCTTTTCAAAATTTCCTATTCCATTTGTTAGTTTATTTAATCAGAACAAATTCTATTATAAGTTTCCTTTAACAACTTTCCAATATTTTAAGACAATTCTATTTCATGAACATCAAGATTCTTTTCAAAATTTCCTACTCCATTTGATAGTTTATTCAATCAGAACAAATTCTATTTTCGGATTCCTATGCCTAGCTAATAAATTCAACTGTTTAATTCATAATTCCAACTCAAAATTGTATATTGTTAAATGCATTATAAGTTCCCTTCATATTTTTGGTGTAAAATTAAATTAGAATGTCATTATATCTGAAGGCAATTAAAGTTATGCAATAATGTTCCATTTTCAAAACACTCGAGTTATTGATATTTATGCAATAAAGTTCCACAGTTAATTATAAAGTCAAAAGTTTTCTAGTATCAATCACTCAAGTTTTTAGGCATTTAAAATTCAAAGTTTAATCACACACAAGTCATGTTCATCATTAATTTATATTCAAAATAAATCTTGTAACGAAGGTTACTAAATTTTCCGTGCATCCCGGTCATTCAATTAGTTAAAATTAGCGCGAGTTCAATCAATCGGATTTTATGAGACTCACCCCGGGGTGGAGTAGATTCTGAGAAGGGTTGCAACCCGCTGCAGTTCCCCATGATCGCGTGACCTCGTATTCTCCGCGCTGGTAGAGTGGATACGACGCGCGATCATCGCCGTACCCACACTCCTTGCGCGCGACCGTCGAAGCCGGTACCAGGATTTTTGGCTATAAATATAGCCGTGCTGCAAGAGAACGGGCATTCCGTCTCCGATTCCGCTTCCGACTCCAGCTCCGATCCGACCAGCCGACAGCCAAGGTACGCCGACCTCCGCCGCCGTCTTCAGCCGCCGTCTCCGCCGTCATCCGCCGTCATCCGCCGCCATCCGCCGCGACGCCGTCATCCGCCGCGACGCCGTCGACAATGGTAAAGTAGAGTGAGAGGGCAGGTATCTTCTTCTAAGGGGTATAAGGATCATAGATTGTATAGCGTGCTGCCGGACCGATTACGGGGGTTCACTCTTGCTTCTATCCTTATATTTCTGACATTTCTTTAAACCTGCACTCTACTCGGTTGCATAGTTCGCGCATGCGCCTGGAATACGAGCTGAAGGTGGTAGGAGCACGGCAGCCTAGCATCAATAATTCCTTGGAGCTATTCACCGAAACCGTTATTTTTCCGCAATCCTATTGACCGATACCGTTATTTTTCCGCGATCTTATTACCGCGATTCTCCGCCACGTACATAGTAATTACACATTCTTCTCGCCGACTTCGTTCCACTCTCCCCGCTCTTTGTCTCTCATTTAATTGCATTTTTCACTGTTCCTTTTATCTTATGTAATTGGGCAAATAAAAACTTTAATTTGTAAGTTGGATTCTGTGTTTCATTTTGAGGATGCGCATATTGACCTCTGGTTTTCCGTCTCCACTGTTTAAAAGCTACCTAGAGCACGTGGGCCCTTAACCACATTAATCCTAAGGGTGGCGCCCAAGTTTTCCGAAAATTCCGAAATCAACCGCTTTCCCACCGGAAAACCAAAGTAGCGCTACAATCTTGTCACTATAGAGTACTTACATTTTGTCCATAAAACACAAAACTAATCTAAATTAATTCTTTTGAATACTTAGAGCCCGCATATAATTGTTGAACGAATTTCAAATGTCAATTCTTTCACGATTTTCCGTACTTTTTCTAAGTTAAATCGAACTCGTTTTCTCCGAGGCCTTATTAACTACTTTCGCGAATTTCAACCGGACAGACTTTAACTCAAACTGGACTGGACTGTTTACAACTGGCAACTCAACTAGCAACTCACTTCCACTTCTAAAACAGTGGTATTTATATTTTTTGTTTCCCCTCCGAAATTCTGTGTCCATGACAATTAAGATGATGCAATTTCCTTGAAATTTTTGTCATTTTATTAGTTTAAATCGAATAATTATGTCGCAATATCCTGATCTATCGAGGTCAAAACATTATTGGTTCAAGAATGCCATAAATCATCAAATTATTTGCCCTGCTGGCCTTGCTAAAAAAAATGTTCATTGATCGGGTTTTAGGATGACGTCACCCTGTCCTCGTTTTTATTATTTTTAAGAATTTAATTTAGATGATGACATGGCTGGGTGTCGCAATACGTTAGCGTTAATTTGTTTCATTTTTAATTTATCGATACTGATTTGAGATATCAGAAATTCAGTTTTTGATTGTTTGATAATTATTTAATTTTTACAGTAAAGACATTGTGATTTATGGGTCTATTTTCTCGGATCATTACAATACTAACAAATTTGTCTTGTCATTGACATTATTACACAAAGAGAAAAGGCTTTACGTGAAAACTCTTTAAAAAAAAAAAAAATAGCAAATCCGAAACGAAATTTCTCCGTTTTCCCTGCTGGATATTGGAAAACTTCTTTGGAATATCGGAACTTTTAAAATGCAATTCAACTTATTTCAATTTAAGCCTGCACGGTCCGCGAAATGACAATTTAAATGCAGTAATTTCGCCCGACGTAGACAAAAAAATAATTCCAAACAAAATCGGAAAACGATGTATTTTTAATCCCAACTCGCAACTTTTGGAATAATTTATCCTTTTTTCAATTTCAGTTCAAAACTACTAGGATTCATTTGCGAGCTGGTGGAAACTTCCCAAACTGTGCAACAGCACATGATTCAGAACCGTGGTTTTCTGGTGATCAGTTTCATGCTGCAACGGTCTTCAAGAGATCACCTGACTATTGATGTTTTAGGCTCGTTTTTGAGTTTGACCAAATATCTGGTCACTTGTTTGAGTGCCAACAGCGAACTACTTCTGAAACAGGTAAAATAAACCAATTTAATTTTCATATATATATACATTTCAGTTTAAAAAAGAATGGAAATTGTGTCGTTTAAATTACGAAATTCCATTTGCATGCAAATTTTCTTGGCAGTAGGTATTCCCTGCAATACTTTTTGTTTTATTATTATTACTATTATACAATTTTCCAGTTTTGTCCAAAGATGTCTGAATTAAACATATTTTTTTGGTCAATAAACATCCACCCCCTTATACTTATCCAAGCATGTTTTATAAAAATCATTGTCTATGTTTGCCTATTTGAAAGCTTGACACCTTCATACACATTTTTTTTTTAATGAAGCTACAAATCATAAATTCAATGCTCTATTCAACTCTCAAAAGCACATTCGCTCATGCTCTACTTGTTCCTTTCCCAAGCTTTCTCGATATAAATCCCTGGCAGAGAAGTAATTTAATGGAAGTTCCCATCTATACATTTTAATTGAGACTTTTCAGTGTGTTCAATTCAAAAAGTATAGGTTTTATTTTTAATTACACGGAGTGTGGTGGAATTTCATCTGCCAACTCTCATCGTATTAATAGGACTATTCAACATTATCGAGGAAAATTCATTTTATTAAACAGGCAATATTACGTTTGACCTAATTTTGGTTTGCATTCGTAATGATGAATTTAGGATAAAATCGCACCGAGATCCGACAGTAATAAAATCGAGCAACGTTTCAGAATCTCTCATTTTATGACAAAGGTTATAGCATTGTAGAAGTGTGTATAAGAAGAAAATCAACCATTCTGTTTAAATTATAGAATTATTTTCAAATCATAGTTGAGTTAAGATGCATTAACTGAAATATATTCAACTTTATTTGAAGCTTTTAAGTATAATACTGATAATGAAGAAGTTATCAGGGTTGGTAGAGGATGCCTCATAACGGATCACGGTACTTGGAACTCTTGTGTGACCTCTCGGCCCTGTCAATCCTTTAGGCTATCGTCCAGCCTAATTTTTTGAAGAAGGCGGAGATGTAGCCTAAAGGACCTTTCAGCATAAGCGCACTAGGGGGTGCTAAGCACCCCTAAAAGAAAAATTAGCACTCCCATTCGGTATCCCACCATAGAACTACCTACAGTGGCACTACCTAAAACTAATATAAAAATTCAGTGCAACCAAATTATTATTATTTTTTGTACTTACTTAAGTCATCGATGACGTCATAATTTAGAAAAAAGTATTTGTCGTTGATTAATTCATAAAGCACGTTCGCAATTATTATTGTTATGAAATAAAAATTTGCAATCGGGACCGGTACGGTATTACAATATTACCACACCTTATATTACCTTAAAATCAAGACTTACTCTAAAATATACGGTTTTCGTGTTATATATAGGATGACGTCATCGAACAAGGTCAGACAATATTGTCAAAGTCTATGTTTATTCTTCAGGGTTGTCGTTATGTATGGAAATGGTCTGATAATTCAGAACCGGCTTAATAGTAGATTATACCACGAGTCAATAATGATAGCTATTATTCCCGAGGAATATTTACGAACTGAGCCGCGTTAGCGGCGAGGGAGTAACATTCCGAGGGAATAATAGCCATTATTGCGAGTAGTAGGTATACTCTACTTTATTTACGACAAATTAATTTATTTGAGATTTTTAATGAACAAATTTCATCCATCTCAATTTTCAATACAAATCCACAAGCAATACACTTTTGACACTGACACTTTTGAGGAATAATGACCATTAATCCCGCTACTCGTCATTATTCCCTGCGGGAATAATAGATGTCATTATATTGCCAAAATCACAAGTATAATACTTACATTATACATTGGTCGTGAATAAAAAAAAAATTACAATATTTCCTACCTGGGGGTTTTTGGGACTGCGCGATTCAATAGTGGTATTTGCAATGTTGCCAAGTTTACCGTTTCTAAGATGTCGTATGTAACGTGATTTTTTAAAATAGATGCTCCTCTTTATTTTTATTGTAATTAATTCAGCGTCCTAACTTTACTAAAACCCTAAAATGTTTAAACTCCATTTTACTTGGTTTATGAAATATGGCAACACAGATTTTTTGTTGCAAAATGTACAATATTCCCTACCTGGTAGTTTTTAGAAATGCCCGATCCAATGGTGGTATTTGCAATGTTGCCAAATTTACCGTTTCTAAGATGCCGTATGTAACTGCCTGTAGGGGCATCCATTTAAAATCAAGTTTCATACGGGATCTTATGAACGGTAAACTTGGCAACATTACAAATATCACCATTGGACCGGGCATTCTGAAAAACCCCCAGGTAGGGAATATTATACAAGAAAAAGAGGAAAGTGAGGAGCTCATTATAGGGAAATTTCGAAATTTTCCAAGAAGAAATCACTCCAGGGAAAATTTTGGAAAATTTACTTTTTCAAGTAAAATTAAGGAAAATTCAACCTCTCATATTTCAATTTTTTTCTGGAAAACTGGCAAAAGAGGAAAAAAAGGAAAGTCAGGAGCTCATTATAGGAAAATTTCAAAATCTCCCAATGGAAAATCGCTCCAGGAAAAATTCTGAAAACTCATCCTCTCACATTTCATTTTATTTCTGGAAAACTAATAAAGCAAAACTTGTGAAATTTTTCCAGGATCAAGAAGGAAATGGGGAGCTCATTATAGGAAAATTTTAAAATTTTCTAGTGAAAAATCACTTCAAGGAGAGGAGAGTTCTGGAAAATTGAGTTTTTTAAGCAAAATTCATCCTTTAACATTTCATTTTTTTTTCTGGAAAACTGGCAAAACAAAAATTGTGAATGTTAACAAATGCCTCAATTGTGGTAGTTGTCAACAAAATGCCTCAAAATTTCAACAAAAAAAATCGTAGTGAATCTTAACAATTGCCTCAAAGTGTTAAAAATTATCGGTTTTATGAGAGGGACGTTACATATGCTTATTTTTTTGCGGTGAATGTTGGGAAACGCCTTGTTTTGACATGTGTGTCACAATTCACGATGCTACAGAAAAATAAACTCGTAATTTATGTAGCAACACTAATTTTTTTATTTGTTTTTCTATATGCGGCATTTGTAGCAACAATATGTAGTGATGTAGCAACAAATTGGATGTTGCTACATACAGAAAAAATTGTAGCAACACGAATTTGAATATTTAAGAGTTTGTAGCAACAAAATTTCGTATTGCTACAGATCAAAAACCTCGAAATCGCCTATATTTGCATATTGCTACAAAAAATTCCGTATTGCTACAGGTTAAAGAGTTCGGAATCGCTCGAATTTGGGTGTTGCTACAGATCAAAACCCCTAAAATCGGGTGTTGCTACAAAAAATTTCGTGTTGCTACAAGCTGAAAATTTCATTTACATCAAAATCTAGGAATTAAACTGTCAAATTTGGACATTGCTACAAAAAAATTGTGTTGCTACAGACCAAAAACCCCGAAATCGCCTATATTTGAGTGTCGCTACAAAAAATTCCGTGTTGCTACAGGCCAAAAAGTTCGATATCGCCCGAATTTGGGTGTTGCTACAGACCAAACCTTCCAAAATCGGGTGTTGCTACAAAATTTTCATGTTGCTACAACTTGAAAATCTCATTTACATCAAAATATAGGAATTAAACTGTCAAATTTGGACGTTGCTATAAAAATTTCGTGTTGCTACAGATCAAAAACCCTGAAATAGCTTATATTTGGGTGTAGCTACAAAAAATTCTATGTTGCTACAAGCCAAAAAGTTTGAAATCGCTTGAATTTGGGCGTTGCTACAGACTAAAGCTCATTATAGGAAAATTTCAAAATTTTCCAGTGAAAAATCACTCCAGCAAAAATTCTGAAAAATTGACTTTTTCAGGAAAATTCACCCTCTTACATTTTAATTTTTTTCTGGAAAATTGGCTAAGGGAAAATTTTGAAAATTTTCCAGGAATAAGAGGAAAATAAGGAACTAATTTGACGAAAATTTCAAGTGAAAAATCACTCCCGGAAAAATTTTGAAAAACTAACTTTTTTAAGCAAAATTGAGGAGAATTCATTAATTTTTTTCTAGAAATCTGCAAAGGGAAGATTGTGAAATTTTTCCAGGAGAAAGGGAAAAGAGAGGAGTTCATTATAGGAAAATTTCAACATTTTCCAGTGAAAAATCACTCCAGAAAAAATTCTGAAAAATTTTTTTCAAGTAAAATTGAGAAAAATTCACCTCTTACATTTTATTTTTTTTCTGAAAAACTGGCACCCCTCAAATTTGGAGCCTAGTTGCGCTTATGCCTTTCAGTTATAACCGATGAGCCCTAAAAAACTCTTGATTTCTTTAGGTGTCTCAAGATTCTTAGGAATTGGGTATTATATTATTATTATTATAATAGCTTCAATTTCATCTGGATTTAGTTTTACTTCATCACACGTGATTACGTGTCCTAAATAATTCACTTCTTTTCGGAGAAATTCAGATTTATCGAGGTGAACTTTGAAATTTGCTTAAGCGTTCAATATGTTCTTGGAGAGATGGGCTGAAAATAACAATGTCATCAAGATAAACCAAACATTCCTTATCTTTAAGGCCTCTTAGGATATTGTCCGTAACTCTTTGAAAAGTTGAGGGTGCATTTTTCAATCCAAACGGCATACGTTTGTGCTCATAATGTCCTTTTTCAGTTAATAAGGCTGTTTTTTGAATGACATCAGATATCATTTATATTGGGTAGTGGATATTTATCATCAATCGTTCGGAGATTAGGATTTCTATAATCGAATACTAAACAACTATCCAAATAAGACTAGACCAAGGTGAACCTTGGTAATTTTGGCGATTTCGCCATTCATCAAAATGGTTTTTTATTTTTTTACTTGAAAACGGTGCATCTTTCAGAAACAAGTGTAGAGATCAAATTTGTTCCAAATTGAATGGAGATTTCAAAAATGATTTTTATTTTAAGAAAAAACAGTAGCGCACCATTTTCACGTCATTGGTAATTTTTCAAAAAAATAATTTCACATCAAAAAATTTCTTTTGCTGCTTGAAAGCAGTATACAAAATTTCAATGAAATATCTAGAGTGGTTTCAAAATTATGATAGAAAAATAGTTTTTCTCTTAGAATTTTAACACCCTGTATCTCGGAAAAGAACCGTTTCCGGGCATATGTTTATATAGGAAACCAGGGTTTATTTTCTACATAAAATATGCCATAAAAATTTGGTGCATTAATTTCGAAACACTCTGTATATCTGGTGAAGAAGGTAGTCATGAATATTTAATGCTTTTAAACCGATTCTCTCAGTTTTGTTGAAACATTGAAGTGGAATAGAATCAACTTTTCCGACAACTTGTGCTGATGGCATTTTAGTCAAACGGATGATCCTTTGATCGGTAGCACAGCATTATAAGGAGTGACACATTTATTGGAACTCATATTGTGCACGCGATGGTGTAGTGACGTCAGCTGGCCCACTCGGAACAAGTTTTATGCGTTATTGGTATAGGAGCATAATATGGTTTAGCCGTTAATGATGGTTATTGGGTTTTAGTGCAATACATTTCGACAAATTTTACATTAAAATTCTCGCATTTTTATTCCAGAGCAATGTTGAGCAATGTAACTAATACCAAATTTTTCAGTTTTGTCGACTCGGTAGAATTTTCACTAGTTCTAGTGGATTTGAAAGTCTTTTAGTGGAATGGTCTTAGCAAATTCCACTATTGTGGTAATTTTAATGGGAATGGGATCCACGGTTACTAGTGAATTTTTAGCTCAATGATTTCTAGTGACACTTCGCTTCCATTAGTTCTCGATACTTCTTTTTGACATTTCGAAATAACGTATTTGTATAGGATTCCTGTTAATTTACAGACGGCAGCATATATTCAAGGATGATACGCACCTACCGCTTTTCGGCCTCGTTTTTGGTAATCGCCGCCATATTGGTGTGTCACCATTTCCGACGTCAAAACTAAGTTGTCAGCTGTTCAAACAGCCTACGTCAAGGCGAGAAATAACTTGCTGCCTACGTCACAAATAGTGATTTGGCGAGCGGAAATCTGTTACACACAGATCTTATGAGGATACACCATCCTGTAGTAGTTATGTGCATAGATTTAGTGGTATTATCCTTACCTTTTTTTTTTGTGGGCTCGTTACAATAAAAATACACACTCTAAGGAGTGCTTCTGCTTATCGGCCCTATTTTTGGTAATCGCCGCCATATTGCTGTGATACCATTTTCGACGTCATAACTAAGTGTCAGCTGTTTAAACAGTCTACGCCAAGGCGAGAAATAACATGCTGCCTACGTCACAACTGGTTTTTTGACGTGGAAGGGAAGGGGGGGATTGGTTATACACAGGCCTTATAAGGAAGGATAGGCCATCCTGTAGCAGTAGTGTGTATCATCCTTGGGCTTGTCATATCGTAGGTATGTCAATATTGTCAATGATGCTTTTATGTCAACTGTCAACATTGTCACTTTCAAACTTCAAGTCAAGCAAACCCGGCTTTCATGCTTTTATAAACATGCTGCTGTAACATAATCTAAGAAATAAAGAAATGAAACTAACACAACACAATATGGTAGATGATATAGGATTTTTACGCTGTATTTAGGATGACGTCACATTTAGTAAATGTTTGCTGCCAACCTAAACTAACAACCCAAAACTAAAAGTACTTTTTAACGCATTTAAAGTAGGGGAATTTCAGATGTGTTTGGTTGGCAATTGGCAACGACGCGCGACTTAGCATGACTTGTATTAACATTTTCATTTCGTTATTTTTAGCTGTCGTCAGAATTGTTGACAAATTATAAGAAAAAAAATAGGCATTGACAACATTGTCTGTCCTTGTTCAATGACGTCATCCTAAATAAAATATAAAAAACCTATACCTAGATGGCGTTTGAGTATTCATATTTTTTAGAATTATTAGAGTGTTCTCGTGCTGTCCAAATTTCAAATACCGTAACACTATTCTCACGATGTTAGCGTTAGTGGAGCCCGCTATCTAACGGGACAGCTTACCGTAACGCTATGCTGTGTCAAAATTAGTTCTCGCTCCATTTCCGTCTACAAGAACAGCAACTTCTAATAATTCCTCCATAAAAAACACCAAGGGAAAATTAATCAAACTCAGAATCTTCATAAGTTAGAAAACAAGGAAAAAAAAGTTGGGTTAGATCACTCAACTCAGCTGTCAAAATGTGAACAGAATTGGGATTGGAGGATTTTTGCTTATTCGTGTCCGAGAACCAAGAACTATAAAATACCATGTAAAATACCGTATTAGCATAGCGTCTCAGGCACGAGAACTCTCTATTAAACAATAAAAAAGATATCAGGAGTGCTAAAAATTTTAAAAAAGAGTAGGAAAAATTCAGTAAATTTTGCACTAGTACAAAAAATTTTCGCCTGCGCCGCCATTTTTTTTCCTACTGGATTTGAATATCTTTCCTAGTAGACAGTCTTGGTTCAGAGTGGGCAAAACTGACATTTTTAAATTGAGTGCAGTGGGCCGGAATACGTCACGCACCCGGTCATTGACCTTTGCGGTCGGCTAGAATACGCTCCATTAGTGATGACGTCACATATTGATATTGGCCATGCTTGCTGTATCCAAACAAACTTCAGGTCAATTTTCAATTTAATAAATGCAATATATTTTCATAACCTTACCGGCTTTGTTTCATAAAACAACGGATGCAACAATTACAAATCAAGAGGTATCGGATTTTTACGCTATATTTAGGATGACGTCACATTTAGTAAATGTCTGCTGCCAACCTAACAAAACTAAAAGTACTTTTTACCGCATTTAAAGTAGGGGAATTTCAGATGGTTGGCAACAACGCGCGACGTTGCATGACTTTTATTAACATTTTCATTTCGTTATTTTTATCTGTCGTCAGAATTATTGACAAATTATAAGAAAAAAAAAATTAAATTGACAACATTGTCTGTCCTTGTTCAATGACGTCATCCTAAAAAAACCTATAAGTGTAAATTGAAACAGACTGAAAGTTTGTTTAGATACAGGCTGCCAGTTTATGACGTCAAACTAATGAAGCGTATTGGCGAACGCGGCGCTTAGGAAAAGCGACTATCTTCTTGTGGGTTATTGTTCTTGGGTAGAACCAGTGCAAAAATGTATTTGTATCTCTGTCTTATACAAGCTAGTAGAAGAAGACACGATTACACTCAGTGCACACTTATTCTCCCAATAGAATTTGCTATTGGTATAGGCTATTCGTTAGGAAATAAATAAGATAATAGCTTTGTTGTATTTTGGTATGTGATATATACAGGGTGGCATTTTAAAAACTTACAATGACTATATCTGCTGAGGAAGCAAAAAAAAATGAAAACTCGCTGGAAACAATTTCTACGATTGTGAAGGGGAACCAACATGATATAATAACTAACATAGGGATGACCTCGCTATTATTGAAATTGTTTTCAGGGATTTTTCATATTATTTTTTTTGGTAGCTCAAATAGCCAATTGTAAGTTTTTAAAGTGTCACCCTGTAGATTGATTATATATGAATGAAAATTCAGTAACTTTAATGACATTTTCGCACTCATGAATAACAATTAAATATCGAGAAATTTTGAAAAATTGCAATGGTTTCCTTTTACCCTGTTTTTTTTTTAGCTCTAGCTCATTACAGATAACAGCTACAAAAAAAAGTTATGTATGAAAATTGTAGAAAATTCAATTATCTTTATTTTTTGTTTGAACACTTTTTTCCTAAAATTGACCATTCACGAATTATATCAGAAAAATCATTTTCAAATTTTCGTTTAACGCTTCAATCTGAAGAGTCTATGTCAAAATTGCGATTACCCCACCATTGACGACATTAGGGTTCCCGAGCAATTGCAATTTCTATTTCTGCTGTCATTATTTCACAGTAGGTATTCAAATAGGCATGATGCATTATCAACTTACCAAAATAATTTAGTTTCTTACAAATATCTCTTCACATGCACAAAATAAGGCTCTCAAACAAAAATTATCAACATCCTTGGAAAAATAAGTAAGGGGGCAGCAGTCAAAAAAGTACTTGATATAGTTGTTTTGCTTTTCATTTTTGACCTGGCAGCTGTTAGACCACGTCCTCTTCAATCCGGCCTTGTGGATTTATACTCCGGCTCCGGTTCAAACGAGGCTCTATTCTTACCTGGCCACAGAGTTCCTGTCCGACACTCAAATTTACTCGAACGTGAGACGAGTATCGACCGTACTGCAGACGGTGCACACTTTGAAGTATTACTATTGGGTGATTAATCCTAGAGGAAAAAGCGGAATATTTCCTAAAGGGATAGGTAAGTCGATATTTATTTTTAGCCTCTAATTAGGGCTAATTAATATAGAATAGCTGGAGGGCGGTAAAATTTCACATTATTACTTTACACCCTATGTTAATATTAATTATCGCTTCAAAAGACTTGGATCGATATAGTAGTCTGGATACAAAATATTTTTAGATGGTCCTAGGCCCGCCCAAAAAGACATCTTAGCAATTAGAGCGTACATTTTGCTCTTCCTCAAGCAGCTCATAATGATTGGCAACGGCGTCAAAGATGACGAGTTGCAAAGTGTTCTAAACTACTTAACAACAGTGCACGAAGATGAAAATCTGCACGATGTTTTGCAAATGCTGATTTCGTTAATGTCAGAGCATCCTTCGTGTATGGTAAGTGAATAAATTTACCGACGAAAAGTGCCTCTCTAATCAATTACATTTAGGTTCCTGCTTTCGACGTGAAACACGGCGTCAGATCGATATTTAAACTGCTAGCAATGGAAAGTCAGCTAATCCGATTGCAAGCTCTCAAACTACTGGGATTTTTTCTGAGTCGTAGCACCCACAAGAGAAAATACGACGTGATGAGCCCGCACAATTTGTACACCCTTCTAGCTGACAGGCTGTTGCTTAATGAAGAATCATTGTCGTTGCCGACTTACAACGTGCTTTATGAAATCATGACGGAGCACATCAGTCAGCAAATCCTTTACACTAGACATCCAGAGCCAGAGTCACATTTCAGACTAGAAAATCCTAGTAAGGATATTTTTGAAGTTAATGATTTAATAATTTATTTGTTTTTTTTTTTAGTGATTCTTAAAGTAGTGGCAACATTGATCCGCCAATCAAAACAGACCGACCAGTTACTGGAAGTAAAGAAGCTCTTTCTCTCTGATATGACCCTGTTGTGCAACAACAATCGCGAAAATCGCAGAACGGTGCTGCAAATGTCGGTGTGGCAAGAGTGGCTCATTGCGATGGCTTACATTCATCCGCAGAATACTGAGGAACAAAAGTTGTCCGATATGGTTTATGCTTTGTTTAGAATGCTGCTGCATCATGCTATCAAGTATGAGTACGGTGGCTGGAGGGTGTGGGTCGATACTTTGGCTATTGTACATTCTAAGGTAAGTTGGTAACGGTTCTATACAGGGTGATTGATGCTCGATGATAGGTTAGACGTTTATGGAAAACGGAATGTTTTTTTTTAATTTTCAAAGCGTCGTAACTCGAAAATGAAAAGTTCGGGAGAAAAACTTCAAATGGAAAACTTATAGCTCTCGTCAAGTACTACAAAAAAGCCTCTGAGAAGTATCCCTCCACGGGGCACCGTTTTCGAGAAAATCGACCTGGAAAATTTTAACAAAATTACAAAGAATTTCGACTTTGACAGCTGATATCTCAAAAACGAAAACGGCCTCGAATAGCGGAGCTATAAGCGAAAAAGTAACGTCGTGTCAGATCGCCGAAATTTTTATCTGACCAAAATCGAAAGATCCTTTTTTAATTTTTTTCCCGGCCTTAAAATGCGTCATAGCAAGCAGGATCCCATAAGCTTTTCATTATTTTTTTTGCTCTTCTATCCGATGGTTTTTTTTTTTGGAAATTCGGAAAAAAAAAATTTAAAATCAAGAAAGATGGGAAGAACTTTTTCCCGGTGCATCGGAAGGAACTGAAACTCGAAATATCGACTAAAAATCACATTTTGAATATTCCCGATTTTTGATTGACTCCAAATTATCCACTGACCAATAGGATTATAGACTGAGCCCCGTGATTAAAATAACTCTAGCCCTTCAGGCTCGCGTATAACTCCGGCCCTTCGGGCTCGCGTATAACTCCGGCCTTTCGGGCTCGTATTACTCCGGCCCTTTAAGCTCGCGTATAACTCCGGCCCTTCGGGCTCGCGTATCACTCCGGCCCTTCGGGCTCGCGTATGACTCCGGCCCGTTAAGTTCGCGTATAACTCCGGCCCTTCGGGCTCGCGTATAACTCCGGCCGTTCGGGCTCGTATTACTCCGGCCCTTTAAGCTCGCGTATAACTCCGGCCCTTCGGGCTCGTATTACTGAGTATCCCAGATTCACAGATTTTTGTCGTAGAGGCGCGGGATTGATTGAAATAATGTTGTCAGATTTTCCTAAATTACATTGAAATATCGAAATTTGGAAAGTGTAATTTGTGAATTATTATTTTAATTAGGAATCAGGAATAAAAAACTAAGATTGAATTTTCAATTTTTTGGGGGAGGTTTAGCCTCCCCTGCCTCCTCTGACGAGCTGCCACTGTTAATGAATCTTCGATACCAGGAGACCGTTCTAATAATCCGTCGCACTTCCGATAAACTCTTAGGAACTGGAACTTCCAATTTAGCTTGAACCTTGTCGGAGTCAATATGTAGGCCATATGCCTGTCAACTATATATAGTTCAAATACTTCATATGAAGCACAGAACTAAAACTTCTCTTTACTGACAGTTATAGACCGTCAGCTAATAACATATTTTGCTGACCGATTTTCTCTGTTGTGAAAGAATATTCGGTGGCTCATCGTTTTATGGCAATCGACAGAATCAAATTTGATATCGTTAGGAACTAGAAAAAAAATTCCCATAAACCGATCAGCTGTTAAGGTATATTTTACGGCTGCTGCAAAAGGAAAGTAAATTTTCCATATGCCTAGCAGACGTCCGGTTGCTAAATTTAAATTTTTTGAGCTCAGCACTGACATAATTTTCAGTGGTTGAAATCATTGAAGAGAGAAAATCGGTCATTAGCTGACAGTCTATTAGGTTGGCTTCACAAAGTCTTCTGAATGCCTCCTCTGAGTCGCGGCATTGTGTCGGAAAATCTGATGACACGATGACAATATCATCATGGTCGAATAATCGCTGCCACGTTACAGGGGCATTATGCAGGCCAAAGGGAAGTCTTTTAAACTGAAACAATCCTCTGTTCGGTACTATAAAGGCAGTATATGGTCTAGAACTATCAGCAACAGGAACCCTTTGCCAAAAAGCTGACTTAATATCGACACTGGCCAGAAATTTTGCATCTTCCAATTTGTCCAGGGTGTCGCTGATCTGGGGTAAGAGGGTAACTATCCCTTTGGCAAACGGCATTAAACTTGCGCTAATCAACACAAAGGCGGAAAGAACCATTATTTTTCTTAACCATTACCACTGGCAACGACCAAAGACTCTTTGACGGTTCGATGACACCAAGCTTCAATATGTTGTTGCATTACTGTAGATACACGATAGTAGCGTTGTTTGATTGGTCTAGCTTTCGAGACAATAACGTGTTCGGCCTTACCGGTACAGCCCAAAGTACTTCTCGTTAAGGAAAAACTGGTTTGCAACAACTGTTTTGCCTCTTCTGGCGTCAAAACAGATCCTTCAGTTACCTATGTCAATTGATTTTACTTCCGGCAGATCAAAGAAGAACCATTCATTATGCCTAAGATTCGGAACAATACCCATCGAGCGCCAAAAATCAACGTGTGAACCAACTCTGGAATGACAACTGTCTTGACCAAACGAATCTTAATCCGAACTCTCATTGGAATTTCACAAGTCCCAATACTGTGGCAAGGCTGGCCATCCGCTACTCTGCAAGTAGGTGTTAAGGTTCTGTCGAGACGAAGATCTAGGTCCTTTACCTGATGTCCACCAAGAATAGTGCGCAATGCTCCAGAGTCTAATAGCCCTAGGATATCCTTTCTCAAAATGTCGACTCGAGATACGGTTTCTCATTAGCATGATCGTGCTTCAGGACAAAATCTATCTTGGGTTGAATATTGATCTTGGTTCAATGCAATCAACGCTTCCCGGCATTTCCCGAGCGACAATTTGGACAATTGTTGACGGTGAAAAGCCTCTTTCTTGCAACGGAGGTAGTACTTCGGTTTCAAAGCACAATCAACTTTTCTGTGACCCGGCTTCTTGCAATGGTAACATACACATAACGTCAAAAGTCTTGGACCCCCCGGTATTTTGAAACTTATTTCATTTTTTAATTAAAATAATAAATTTTTGTTAAAGAATGTTTATTTCTGAATGTATTTTTTGAAATATCAATATCGTCACAAAGTTAGAAGAATTAAAAAAACCGAAGTATAAAAAAATTGCTCTGAAATTCAATAAAATGAAAATTGGAATTTTTTTTCGTTTTCAAACTAAACATCAATAATTATTAGTCAGTATGACCTCCTCTTCTATTCAGCAACGTATTGACACGACGGTGCATTGACACAATAAAGCGGTTGATGGTATCCTGAGAAATATTGTTTCATTCCTCTACTGCTGGTACAATTAACTCATCCACATTATGAGGTGTATTGATGCGGCGGTGAACTGCTCTAGAAACAAAATCCCACGTTTTCAATAGGATTCTGATCTGGGGAGTTGGCTGGCCATGGCAATCTGTTGTTCAAGTGTTCTTTGAACCGTTCTTGCCCGATGTGGCCGGGCGTTGTCGTCCATGAAAATGAAATTCTCGCCCCAAATCGTTGCGTAATGGAATTATGATTGGTCTGATAACATTTTCAATGTACACTTCACTTGTGATGTTCTGACAGATAGGAATTAATGGAGTTCGATGATTGTACATAATTCCTCCCCAAAACATTACTGTGCCCCCTTGATAGGGAGCAACCTCTCGATGAAAGTTTAGTCTCTGTTGACGACCTGGTTCTCTCCAGATCCTTTGCCTACGATCATCACTCTACAATCCGATTCTGGTTTCATCTGTGAACATGACCCAACGCCACTGCTGCAAAAGCCATCCACTATGCTCTCTCGCCTACTGTAAGCGAGCAACTCTGTGTCGTGGACGTAGAGTAGGTACCCTCAAATGCCTTTTTGAATGAAGATTTGCAAGGTGGAGTCTTCTCCTAACTGTAGAGGTCGAAATGTACGCTGGAAGTGATTCCTAAGAGCTGGAGCTGGATCGTGGCGATGTCTACGGGCATATTGGACAACATATCGATCCTCCCTTCCATTTAGGACTCGAGGACGCCCACTTCGTGGTCTTCTTTCGATTGTACCAGCTTCCTCATACCTTTGAACAATTCGTACAATAGATGATCTAGGAATTTGTAACAGCCTGTGTATGTAGTGGTTAGAATGTCCAGCCTCATGTAAAGCAACAATTTTTGCCCGAACAAAGGCGGAAATTTCACGTCCTGGCATTTTAGAGCAAAATAAAACGATACTTGCGTACTTTTTTGAAAATAAAAAACAAAAAACTGACACTTTTTTTTCAAACTTCAATAAAAAGAACACTGCCTTTTTATCTTCAAATGTTTACGATCTTTATTATCAACAAAATATTTGAAATTTTTGCAGTGACTATTTCAAGTGAAGAGGCTAAAAAAAAAATGAATTACAGTAAGGTAGGTAACCACTGCGCAGCAGGCAAAATTTGTTTTGGGGTGCTCATGCCCTCAATAATTTGTCTCAAATTCAATAAAAACCATGAATACTCGAGAAAATGTTCCTTTTCTTATAATATATAGTTTCAGAATTAATTTTAACGGATTGGAATTACTTTGGCCCTTCGGGCTCGCGTATAACTCCGGCCCTTCAGGCTCATATTACTTCGGGCTGATATTACTCCGGCCCTTCGGCCTCGTATTACTCCGGCCCTTTCGGGCTTGTATTACTCCGGCCCTTCGGGCTCAATTTTTTGGGGAGGCTTAGCCTCCCCTGCCTCCTCTGACGAGCCGCCACTGGCAAACAAGCATATTTGAAATAATTTTAGACGATTTTTTGGTTTTAAATGCAAATTTGAACCCTATTTTGGGTGGATTTTCATTAAAAAGTGTCTAAAATCATGGAAAATGTCATTGAAATACAACAATTTACACAACTTTCGGAGGATTTTTCTTGATATTTCAATAGAAAACCCAGAAACAAGCAGTGGCGGCTCGTGACTATTTCAAGTGAAGAGGCTAAAAAAAAATTAATTACAGTAAAGTAGGTAACCACTGCGCAGTAGGCAAAATTTGTTTTGGGATGCCCATGCCCTCAATAATTTATTTTAAATTCAATAAAAACCATGAATACTCGAGAAAATGTTTCTTTTCTTATATATAGTATATATTTTTAGAGTTAATTTTGACGAGCTGGTATTACTCCGGCCCTTCGGGCTCGCGTATAAATCCGGCCCTTCGGGCTCGCGTATAACTCCAGCCCTTCGGGCTCGCGTATAACTCCGGCCCTTCGGGCTCGTATTACTCCAGCCCTTCGGGCTGGTATCACTCCGGCCCTTTCAAGCTTGTATTACTCCGGCCCTTCGGGCTCGCGTATAAATCCGGCCCTTCGGGCTCGTATTACTCCAGCCCTTCGGGCTGGTATCACTCCGGCCCTTTCGGGCTTGTATTACTCCGGCCCTTCGGGCTCGCGTATAATTCCGACCCTTCGGACTCAATTTTTTGGGGGAGGCTTAGCCTCCCCTGCCTCCTCTGACGAGCCGCCACTGAATTTTTGCCCAGCAACAAAAAACAAAATAAAAATAGCACACTTATCATATATTGGGGGGGGTCCAAGACTTTTGATGCTATGTGTATAATCTCTGTATCAGTCTTGGAAGGACTTTGATTGTGCTTTATTGTGGCAATGCCCGATTCTTCTACCTCGACAATGCCAAGTCAGGCTCCAAGACTAGTCCACATCTGGCAGGCTGAAAATAGCTTTCCACAGATTTCCTTCTTTCTTCCAGGCGCCTACACAGACTAATTGAAGTGATATCCACTTCTTCCAAAAGCTGCTCGGAACGATCCTATTGAAGAAATGAAACACGTGTTGTAGGTTATTAATCCTGAAGAAACTCTCAAAACTTACCAAAACAAAATCCAAAATGACCAAGGAACAACTCTAGACAATGATCAACAAGAAATTAGTCTAATTTGAGTTTCCCTGGCACAAAATTCCAAAAAGTCTTGCCCAAAAATAATTAGAGCCAAAATCGGACCTCACAGTATGGGGTCTCAAATCAAAAGGGGAGATTCTTCCTTTTAGATTTGGAAAAGGGGCTTTTGGGGGCTTCGATTTGTCAAACTTCTAATTTTGACATTGATGAAAATTATAGAAAAGGGCGTTGTGTTAAGTTTCACCCAATTTCACCCCAAAAATACGAACTGAACAGGTGGGTTGTGTATAAATGATTCCAGATAACCGGTGAATGTTGAAAATTTCCTATAGAACCTATATTAGTGCGAATTAAATCAACCAATTGGAAACGCCATTAGACAAATATCCCAAAATAATCCAATTCTAACAGAAACTTGCTTGTATTTCAGAAACCTTACTATTTAGGTATAGGAACTATAGGTGCTCCATTTGAAAAAGTGCACTTTTAACCTTTTTTGCATCTGGCAGCACAATTACTAATTTTGACCAACCCTGTATAATGTAGAGCAAATTTTCTTGCTCAAAAGTAATATGCAGGACCTCTATAAGTTATCTCCAAAATTTGAACTCTCTACGAATCTCAGTGACATAGTAATACAAATTGAGCTAAAGTTCACTCCACGGAACGAGATAGTAGAGGTAAACAAACAGGCGGAGCTTAAAAATTAAGAGAAGGACTGCAAAAATATGAATTACAAGTAATGACATTTATTATTGTCAGGTTTTCATATGAATCAATAAGTTTAATGTCGTATTTCCTAGTATTTTACAATTATTTAAATAGTGTTTGGTAAATTATTGTTAATTAGTGAGCAATTTAGATTAAAACAATATCAAGTTTAACAGATTCCGCTGAAGAATTCGTTCGGAAATATATTCAGAGAAGATAAATACAAAACAACCTAAGACGGTCCTGCCTAGGGCGGAGTATAATCCTTTTCTAGCCAATAAAATTTGACTTACCTGTCAAAGTTTGTTTACTTTCACTATCTCGTTTCGTGAAATGAACTTTAGAACTATGTTTTGAAGAAAAAATCAATAATAAGTCGAAAATCACTAGAAATAGGTATAGGATAGTATCATACAAAAATAATCAGAATGTAATAGCGGAGCGAAAAATGCAATAATATTCCATTTGAAATATCAAACTTTATTATACTTTTTGGTATAAGCGGCAACGTCGCATGGTTGAAATTATTTTAGAATAATAGATCAGGAGCAATTACTTGGGCATGCAAATTTTCAAAAACATCCAACACTCCGTTTTCCATAAGCGTCTAACCTACCATCGACTATCAATCACCCTGTATATTTCTATTGATAATGGATTTTCAAGTCAGTTGTTGATAAATGTTGGATACAAGTTTTTACTTTCACGTATTTGATGTGAATGTTGATTTGGAGCAATCCATAATCGGTTTGAAAAAGAAAATGCATGAGGCGTGCATTGGCAGCGCTCTTTACAGGGTGTCCTCAGATACACTGACACATTTTGCAGGTAAATATCTCGAAAACGAGATGCGGTTCGTCCTGATGATTAAATTGGCTACAAAATGATCCAATTCAATATCAATAACTATCATCTCTCCAAAGCTTCAAAGTTGAAATTCACCTTTCAAAGCAAATTCTTCTATATTTTTAACTTATAAGGGCCATAAGTACCTTGAAACTCTACGTCGACCTCCACCAATCAAAGTTTACTTGTCTCAGATTTGTCAGTTTATCTGAAAACACCCTGTATACTATTTGTATTAATCCAAAACAATTTCCAAACAGGTTTCCTACGAAGAATTCAAACTCCAATTCTCTCAAGTCTACGAGCACTACGAACGTCACCGTGCCGATCAGATAACAGATCCCCTACTAAGACAACAACACCCCATAAGTACGATTTCCGGATGGCACGGTCAACCTCAAAACATGCACAACGGTTGTCATCCAGAAGAAGAAAACTGGCACGACAATCGTCCAGTGATCCAAGAAATCGTCCTGAACGAAAACGACAAAAGCGAACAAGTTTGCAGTTGCGACTACAATTCGACAATCTCCGAAGGCAGTCCGGTGTCTTACATAGCCAAGCACGAAGATAGTGAAGGTGTTTCGTTAGATTCGAGGACTAGCGATTTGTTTAGTGATAATAAAATAGGTAAAGAGTCGCCTTATTCGCAAGATTCGCCTTTGAAGTCGCAAGAGGACCATTCAGCCAGTTCGCCGATGTGTAACGGTGTTCACACTGAAAGCAGTACGAGTTTTGGTAGTCCGGCACGTGCCGACTTCAACGAAGATCAAGAGAAGAATCAAATAATTGAGGAAATTGTCCAGGAAATTTTAGCAAAGTCTGAACAATTATTGGATAGTAAGCTAAATAGTTGCTCAAATATTGAAGCTGATTGTACTCAAATTGTAGAAAGCGATAGAAATATTAGCAATTTAAAAGAAGAAGATGTTTGTGTTAGTCCTGTTAAAAGCTTAAGTGGCAATGACAAGGAGGTTATTGATAGTGAATCCGAAAGGTATTTGACTCCAACTGAAGAAATGGCTGTTGTTGAAAAAAAGGAAGAAATTAAAATTGACACTAGTGGTGATAGTGAAGAAAATAATACTGTAACAGTGTCATTGACTATAAATGAAGAAGGTCAAGGTGACGTAGGTGATAAACATAGTGATAGTGCTACTAATAATAAATCAAATTTTGTGCCAATTGTTGAAAATAGTGCTGTGTCTGTAGAAATAGAGCCGTCCAACCAAACCAATTCTAGTCTAGACGAATCAAACATTCCAATTATTGTAGAGGGCACCGATAACGAACAAGTGCCTACCGTTGAAAAAATACCAACGATTTCGCAATACTGTGATCCTAGCTATTCTACTCCTACTACGGATGTCGTTGTTGACAACGTCGACGTCGTTAGTGCCAATGTGGATTCGCCCATTCAACCCGATACGCGTAGAAGGGTCAGTTTGCCTACTAATCATATTGAATCGCAAACCGACGATCATACCAGTAGTTCACACGTGCCTCAAGCTTCGCCTCAGAGACGACCTCGTAGTGCTTCAATTTCAACTCAAGTAGATACTAATCAGTTTGGTAAGTAATTATACTAGGCTTTAGGTTTAGGTTTAGGTTTCTTGTGAGTGGTCCGATGTCCCTTTCACTACGACCTACGGTCTATTGTGGCTCATTCCGAGTTTATATTTCCCCCATCGGTCTTATGAAGGTGGAGATAAGTGTGGGGGAAGCATGCTTTACATATTCGAGTCGAACAGCTGATTTCCCGAAACCAGCATGCCTGATTTTACCTATTGCCAGACACATGCATAGGAAGTGTTCTGCAATTTCGTTCTCTTCCATGCATAGGCGACATTTGGCACTTTGTGCTATTCCGATTCTGTACAGGGTGATCTATTATAAATGTCACCTCCTTCTAACTTTGTCATTTGACATTTTTGACAAAAGTGTCAGATACAAAAGTTTCAAGAAATTATCGGAAGTTTTTAACTGAGTCAGTTTTAGGCATACAGGGTGCGTCAAAAAAGTGCAGCAATGTGGAGTTATATTTTTTTAAATGGAACACCCTGTACATTGTGCGTCTATTTGTTAGTCCCTTTCAACCTGATTTCAACGATATATAGTTTGATGTGTCCAACAGGGAAAAACATGAAAACCCCTTTCAAGGTTTCATATTGAAAAAAGAAAAATTATACCATTTAAGCTTTAGAGAATTTTTTTTATAAACAGTTTATTGTTCAAATTTTATTTATTAATATACAAGGTGAAATATTACAATGAATCCGGATGTTTAAGTTATTATTATTATTCAAAAAAAAAATACATGAGAGACCTAGGAAGGGATTTTCGCCTTTTTCCCTATAACTATTGGAGATAAACCGAGAGATAAACATATCAAACTATATATGGTTGAAATCAGGTCAAAGGAAACTAACAGTTAGGCGTACAATAGACAGGGTATTCCATTTAGAAAATATAACTTCAGGCTGCTGCACTTTTTTGACGCACCCTGTATGCCTAAAACTGACTAATGGCGTTTCCGATTGGTAGATCTATTGCGGAACTAGTGCAATTTTTTCTATTTCTATCTTTTTCTTCTACAAGTCGATTAAAAGGATGCAAATACACTCAGTGCGAACTGAACATACCAATCGGAAACGCCATTAGTTAAAAACTTTCGACAATTTCCTGAAACTTTTGTATTTGACACTTTTGTCAAAAATGTTTGATAAAAATAAAAATGAGGGGCTAACTTGACGCTCAGCCCCCCAAAATTTTGAAAATTAGATGAAACCAAAAAGGATTCTTATCCAATCTGAAGGATCAGTTAAGTTAGCCCCATTGGAAATTTCTGGATAAAAATTATCCCATTTTGCTCCATCTCACTCCACTAATTTAGATTTTTGCTCCATTACAGTGGAGGGACTATGTGGCCTATTAGGTGGGGGGGCTGAATTAACGCTATCCCCCCCCCCCCCAGTGAAAATGCTGAAATTTGATCATGCTCATTTTGTTCTCCGAGTTTTTCTCCATTTTGCTCCATGATCGGCGAGTTTTACTCCATTACCAGGAATGACCTACAGAGCTCTCAAGAATCTCTCCCAGCCCCCCCGAGTGTAAATTCTGAAATTTGATCATGCTCGTTTTGTTCTCCGAGTTTTGCTCCATTTTGCTCCATTATCGGCGAGTTTTACTCCATTACCAGGAATGACCTACAGAGCTCCCAAGAATCTCTCCTAGCCCCCCTCGGTAAAAATTTTGAAATTTGAACATGTTCATTTTGTTCTTCGAGTTTTGCTCCGTTTTGCTCCATTATTGGCGAGTTTTGCTCCATTACCAGGAGAGACCTACAGAGCTCCCAAAAATCTCTCCTAGAAATTACTCATACCGAGTTTTGCTCCGTTTTGCACCATAATCAGCTGGTTTTGCTCAATGACGAGCCGTTGGATACGCTGACACTCTGCGGCAGATATGCCAAAAGTTGAGCAAAGTTCAACTTTTTGCGTAGAAACTCAGCGTTTTTAGAGGTTAAGGTTGCAACCGTTCCGTTTTCTTGATTTTTGTAATTAACTGTTCATATTTGCAACTATTTGAGAATAAAGCACAAAAAAATACAAATTTGTACAATCAAAATTCAAAAAAATATTTCAAAATTTAGCAAAAAAATATAATTTTGACATACGCAGCGGCGTAAATTCTCCACTCCATGTGAATGTTGCGCCAAAATTCACGTATTCAACATTTGCGCCAGTTATGTCAAGTTTACGCTCATGAGAAGCCGGCCTTAGACTATCCAAGATGCTGTCAAATTTGAATTAAAATGTCCACCAAGAGGCACACAAACCCTTTGTTTGCTTGTCAAAGTCACGTGTTTTGAAAAGGCTTATATTAATAATTCATTTGCCACATTGAGACAAGCACTGAATTACTTCCTGAAATACCTTAGTGATCACTGAGGCGTACAAAATAGAAACAGAATGTAAATAAACAATAAAATCTAGATAGGATAATTAAAGCTAGTACGATACCAATGTTCCATTTGGTAGCAGTAGATACAATCAACCAGATTAGTCCTGGCTACTGACTAATCTTACGGTTCAAATTTACAGTCCGGAAGGCTTGTATAAACGTCAAACTAGAAGGCTTAGGTGGCTGGGATGGCTCGAAAATAATCTGGAAGTCTGGATTCGATATCCTGGAGTGAGTGAGATGGTCTTTACAGTTGGTTGGGACATGGAAGGCAGACTAATGTATAATCATCTAGTTATTTTGGAGAGTGTTCCGTTCCCAACCCTGGTTAACTGGTCTCTATTTCTTCGGTTGAGAGTGATTCAATTGAAGACATGTAGTGACTTTGGAACTTTGTAATTGAGGCATCACACAAGGTTGCCTGATAACTTTTATGACTGTATGCCTAGGACTTCGGCCTAAGCACAATGCAAATCTCCATAGGAACCACTCGATGACGTCATCTGTTTGCCCTTACCAAACAACCTATTACAAGCAATTAATATTTAGGAACCTTGGGCATTACATTCTTCGCATTCTCTTTTCGACTTTCGTTATGCTTTACTTTTTCAAACTCACAGGCACAAAAATTGTCAGAAATCAGGAATAATACAGAAAATTATAATATAACAGATAAAATAAACAACAAAATAATAACCAACCAGAAAAACGGAACGAAGGTGACAATACGATAGCCGACAGTTAGCCTGAAGACACAATGACAAATACAAGATACAAGAGACAGATACAAAATACCAAAATATCGAAATTCTGTATTGTGACCTGGCAAGTAAATTTTATCCTGTATCTGTCTAGCTAAATTACCTATATTAATAATTCATTTGCCACATTGGGCAAGCACTGAAATACTCCCTGAAATAACTTAGTGATCACTGGGGCGTACAAAATAGGGACAGAATGTAAATAAACAATAAAATATAGATAGGATAATTAAAGAGTACGATATCAATGTTCCATTTGGTAGCAGTAGGCAATCAACCAGATTAGTCCTGGCTACTGGTTGTGATTAGATGGTCAAAGAGGTCAAACCAATCTTACGGTTCAAATTTACAGTCCGGAAGGCTTGTATAACCGTCCAACTTAGGCTTAGGTGGCTGGGCTGGGTTGGGTAGGGTTGCCAAGTTTTTGAAATGGAAAAGCGGAAGGTTTAAATTTTTGGGTGCCACGCCCAAATTTTTACGGAACAGAGTCTTAAAAAAACCCTGTCAAATGTACCTTTTGTTAAGCGAATCACTTGTCAACTCGTTTTTTCAATTTTTCTGGAAAAATTAAAAGCACCCATTATATTACCTCGGACAAATTATTTTCCTTTTAACTACATCCTTATTCTCACTCTAAAGCTATCCAGATCTGCTTGGAGCAAGAAGAGTAGGTTTCAATAAAAAGGCTTTGCGTGGTTTGCCTGATAACTTTTATGACGTTATATGGGGTGCCTCAACCAATGGTTTCAACATAATGCAAATCTCCATAAGGCACCCTAGATGACGTCATCAAGTTACCATTACCATACAATAACTCTGGTACTAAAAACTATAAATATTAATATTAAATCGATATGCAAATGCCTGATAGCGAAATATTGAATTATTATTTTTCTTTAGCGAAATTGTTGAAAAGCGGGAGTTAGCAGGGATTTTTTAAGAATGCGGGAGTTTTTGTTGCGATTTTTTGCGGCAAAAAAGCGGGAGTCTCACGCCCAAATCGGGAGGGTTGGTAATCATACTCGAAAATACTCTGGAAGTCTGGTTTCGATATCCTGGAGTGAGTGAGATGGTCTTTACTCTACCCTTTAGGGCAGCTTTTCACTAATGATTAAATGGAAAAAGTCAGAATCTACTGTGGGAAAAAAACGTAACTTACCGAAATGGCTGTTTTCAAATTCGATAATGAAAATTATAATACACAACGTAAGAAAAATCAATGTGCTAATGAGAGAATTAGGTCCAAAATCCTTTTTTAGGGCGAAGAAAAAAATTAAATTCTTCAAGAGACCTTGGGGCGGATTACGAACTCTCGATTCGCACCGAAACCGCCATAGATTTCGAACGCATTCCTATGCATTCACATGGAGTGCGTTCGAAATCCATGGCGGTTTCGGTTCGAATCGAGAGTTCGTAATCCGCCCCCTTATCTCTAAAGCAACCAATAAGTGAAAGAGAGATTTCGATTTCCCAAAAATCCTTAAATATCTGTCCTATTGAAGGATGGGCAAATGGCAGAATTATGACATACGTCAAAAATCAATCGATACTATCGATTCGATAGTATTCCCACGCACCAAAAATTGCACACAACAACATAATCGGAGAGAAATTACAACAGCCAAAGACTAATGATAATAACAACAAGGAATTATCCAATAGAACAATCATAATTTGAAGAATAGGACATGGAGTAAGATAGGGAGCGAACGGAGCAATCCGGTGGTGTATGGAACCAATGATTGAACCGGGTGCAGAACTAGAACTGGCAATCAGAGCAGTAGTCGAACAGAGAAGTTAGGTGTTAACATACCATTGAGTACATGCTATTTCAAAACCAATTATAATACATTAAACTAAACAAACGCTCTGGAACGGGCGCACTGCTTTATGCTAGTGTGCCGAATTTTGATGTATGCAACCCAGCAATACAGAGGGATCGTTGTCTCGCTCGCACTCATTGCGATTAACGTAAAAGAAAGAAGAGCTTTTTGATCTCCTTTACCTCAATCAAACACTTCAAAAAGCTGTTCTCAATAGCCGCCATAATGCAGAGAGAGATGCAAATCCCTCTTGTTTGTTGTCCTTCCTGACACAAACCCTTGCGAATAAAGATTATGCAGCCATCGTTCCAGTGTGTTTGTTTAGTTTATTGTTATAATATGATTCGGGAACATAACCCCAAAAGAAATAATTGACAAATGAATATTTGTTAACATGGAGATTTGATTTTGAAATTAGGTATTCCAAATCACGTGACTTTTGACATACAATATGGCCGGTCATTGGCACACAAACCCATTAAGCTATAGGGAACAGGTGGAATTTCGATTTAATTTAGCTACATTTACCTACAAAATTTACCTGTGGAAGTTTATTCATCTGGTTTAGGGCCGGTTTATCAATCAAGGGATAACTCGCAGAGTTTGCTGGCCCTGGGTTAACTCTAACTCTGGGCTAACTACCTACTCAATTCGAAAAGTGTTTATCCAAGCTTTTTCAACCCAGGGCTGGTAAACTCTCGGTTTCTTTGAAGGTTGGCATTACTTATGCAACGTTGCCACCTCACTTTTGTCGATTTTTTGACATATTCTGCTCATAACCTTACTTTTTTATGGTATTTTTTTGTCCCTGTAACGAAAATTTGAGTTTTCGGTATCGTGTACTTACCTATTCTGTGTGGAAATATGTTGTTTTGTTTTAAAGAGAATAAAATGTCTGAGAGAAAAAACAACAAGCATAGGTATTAGCCTATCCAAAACCCGTGACTTTGACAAGCAAAATATGGCGGGAAAGGGTTGTGTGCCTCTTGGCGGACATTTTAATTTAAGGCCGCGTTAATGGCCGCCATGTTTAAATTTAGTTTTTGAAAATGATGACTGCGTCACTCTGCACATAAAGTTCAATATTTTATTATTTGTCCAAAACAAAATCTGTTTGTCGGTGAAACACTTAGTGACAGAGAAAGACAAATATACAATTATGATGCTCCCAATGTAGCTTTTTTGCCGTGGCGCCATCTACTTGAAATTGCTTGAACTGTTTTCACTTTCAAAATTCGTTTTAAAGTCATCTCAAAAAATCCGCAATAATTTCCAAAATCCTTTGGCATAAACATTATTTGATATATTATTCACAATCTCTACAATTAGCTTTTTTTAGTTTTTCGTGGTTATCAATAAAATATGATTCTAGCGGATCCAAGCTTGATAAACATGCAAATATGCAACCACCAACGCATTTAATTGTTTTGGTGGTCGCAAACATGATTTTTGAATTAAAAAAAAGGCCTAATATCGAAAAACCAAAATAAGGAATTGTAGATAATCGATCAAATAATGTTTATGCCAAATTTGAGCCAATTCTGATGTGCCGTTTTTTTAAAGACCTTAAAACAAGTTTCGAAAAATCAACCAATCACAGTTTAAACATGTCGGCCATTAACCCGGCCTTAACAGTAGATATTTTAGGCTATTCATTTGTACTTGCTCTACCTGCTCCAAAAATCAGGAAGATTTGCTAGATTTATGAGCTTATATAGGACAAGTTAACTCTGATCTGAGATCTGCTTGAAGCAAGAAAAGCAGTATAAAATGAAAGGTTTGTTTGTTTTTGTGTTATTCGGAGTAGCACTTCCTGCTTTGGGGCGTTCGTTTGTGTTATGTTATTAGTTGGAGCAACTTGCAAAGAAGCTGCAAACCGGTATAGGTATGGAGAAAACAAAATTTCATAGCACTAATCCATTTTTGTCTTCTTTAACCAAATAATTCATTTAAGATGCGTAGCATGTTTGAAATTTAAAGTATTACAAAATCCTGAAACTCCGAATAATGAAAATACAGAAAAATATTGTTCTCAAATACACATTAAGTTTACATATATTTGTGTGCCAATGACCGGCCATTTTGGATTTCTTTGACAGGAGGTTGGAATGCCTCAAGAATAATATCAATAATATGCCATATTCCCGGCACGTGAAAGTGGCCCATTAGTTGGGCAATTTTGGTTTGTTACGATTTGGCCCCACGTTGGGCGCCAATTAATTTGCCACGCTTTTTCGGTGATTAAAAAGTTTATACAGGAAGGAAAGAAAAAAAAGGAAAAAAAAAAATAAATAAAAAAATAAATAAAAATAAAAATGAAAATGAAATTGAGGATACTTGAGATTGCAGGACTGAAGGTTTAAGTGCGAGCAAATTATGCCCTAGCTCAGAATTAAACAATTCGGAGAGTAGGGGTGGGTTTTATTTTTGGGCGCCACCGACTCTGGACAGATGAGTCCAGGATGTTATCTGGCTCCAGGTCCTTACAATTCAAATTTAAAAAATAATAATAATAATAATAATATTCAATAAAGGCTGTGTGCATAAAACCAAATAAAAGTCAATATTCTTTCAGGTCTTTCCGCAGATCCTGTGGCAGTTCCAAAGCGACAATTTTGCCTTTTGGCTTACTTTTTCCAAATGAGCGTTCGAGTTTAGAGTCTTGTCCAGGATGACTCCCAAATACTTTGCTTCATTTGAAAATGGTACTATAATTCTCTCCGAATACTTAGGGGTACCAAGTCATCAAGTTTTCTTCTCCTGGTGAAGGGTAGTATGACCATTTTGTGAGGATTGATTGTCATTTCCTCTCTCTTGCACCAATCAAGCACGCAATCTAGCACCTCTTGGAGTGCAGCTGAGACCCTAGTCTCAGAACTACCCTTGACTATTATAACTAGATCGTCGGCATATGCTTGTCCCCATAATTGTATCACGGCCAGGAGTTTATCCACCAGAAGTGACCACAGAAGCGGAGAAAGTACCCCTCCCTGCGGACAGCTCCTGAACCTGACCGTTTCCTCCTGTAGAGAAGTCGTTATCATTTTACCGTTCAGCATGGTCCTAATCCAGTTACAAATTAGCGGGTCGATGCTTCTAGATTCTGTTGCCTCGTGAAGGGAGCTTGGCATCGCATTGTGAAAACCTCCCTGTATGTCCAAAAAGGCGGCAAGTGCCATGCTCTTACGTTCCAGAGAGTCGTCTATACTAGCGACCAGGTTACTACTTTCCTGCCTGATAAGCTCATTGGTGGGTACTAAGAGGGTTAGCTCTGAGCGCCTTCGCCTTAATCCAACAACTTTTATAAAGTTTCCAGGAGGAACGATGTCAGACTTATTGGTCTGAATGATTGGGGTGTGGTTTCTTTGCGCCCGCTTTAGGGATATAGATCATTTCAAATCGTATGTGTCTGTGGTCGGAGTATGATGGCTCAGTTGCCAAGTAACTATACTAACTTAAACAATTTTTATTACTTATAAGAAAACTCTATTATAAACTTCCTTCTCTTTTGAAATTTGAAACAGTTTGTTTAACAAAACTTTCAGTCGAGTTCCAAAGTTTGCACTTGAAGTAAATTATAAACTTAATTTTAACGTTTATAGAGCCGAAACATTCCAAGTCAGATTCGTCGTCGGCGAGGCCGATGTTCAGTCCGGGACCGACGAGACCGCCATTTAGAATACCGGAATTTAAATGGTCCTACATTCACCAGAGGCTCTTGTCCGACGTGCTGTTTTCGTTGGAGACCGACATTCAAGTGTGGAGGAGCCACTCTACCAAATCGGTGCTGGACTTTGTCAATAGCAGCGACAACGCGATATTTGTCGTCAATACGGTTCATTTAATATCGCAATTGGTTGATAATTTGATTATTGCTTGTGGCGGGCTTTTGCCTTTGTTGGCTTCTGCTACGTCACCAAATGTAAGTATAAAGATTTAATGAATTAAATAAATTATTAGAAAATTTATTTCTAGAATGAGCTGGATGTTATTGAGCCCACGCAAGGAATGCCCATAGAAGTAGCTGTGAGTTTTTTGCAGCGTCTGGTCAACATGGCCGATGTTTTAATTTTTGCGAGCTCTTTGAACTTTGCGGAGCTTGAAGCTGAGAAGAACATGTCTAGTGGAGGGATTTTGCGGCAGTGTCTGAGATTGGTGAGAGTTTGTCCAACCTTGTCGACACATTTTTATGTTTTATTGTCCAAGTTTGTATATACTGAATGTGTGCTTTTTTGTCTATCAGCATTCAGAGATTGTTTTGATGGAACCAGACATTGAGAATTGTATCAATGTGTTACAATGTTACAACAAAAATTCAACTAATTGGAGTTTCCTCTCCTACTCAATTCAGAAAATGAAAAAAGTCCTGAAAAATTGAAACTGAAAAACCAGGTACACACGATGAAGGTGACCACACTTAAAAACCCTCGCCTTTACGGACTCGTAACTTAAAAAGACCCCGGCCCTCTGGGCTCGTAACTTAAGTAGACCCCGGCCCTTCGGGCTCGTAAATTTAAAAGACCTCGACCCTGGGCCTACGAAGAGTTGCTGTCAAACTTACGATTTTTTTTCATTAAAATAATGTCTTTTGAAGCTCTATTTTTGCTTGATTGTTTTATTCAATTTGCATTATTTTCAACAGCATTATTGTGCACTGAGTGTATTCGTGTCTTTTTTTACTAGTTCCCTAATAACACCGATCTCCCAGAAACATCCTATTTATGTACCATTAAGGTCCTTATGTTTCCGACATAAATAGTACATCGCTGCGATGTTTGTAATGTAACATCTCTAGGATGATTGTCCTGAAATGTTTTAGAAACATCCTTTCGAAAATATCTATCGACAAAAAGATTTTTTGTTCTCAAAATTAGATACTTATTACAGCTAAAAAATGGCTAACATTATTTTACAAAACTAGGTAGGACCTCAGACCGGTAGGACCCAGTATTAAATTTGCCAATTTTGTGTGATTTCTGAAAATGTCTCTAGCACACACACAAACTAATTTCAAATTCCATAATATACCTGTAATGTATATAGATAAGGAACTTAATATTAATTTTGTATTGTAACAACAGCAAAATTTAATTTTTCATTCGACTTACAACTTGGAATAAAATAAAATATGTATTGATAAAAGTCTTCTCTCTTTTCAACTTTCAAACATCGTGAATATTCGTGAAGCCGAAGTGTATGGCGCAGGCGCGTGCTCAGGCATTTGTACTTGTACGTCGGGTCGGCACCGCAGCCAGCGCAGACGGGCAGAATCAGTCGAACGGGTCGTTCTGTGCGCTTCGCTTGTGTTGTTGGGCGGAATTTTATTTCGTAATGGCGTCGTGCTGTGTGGAGGAATTGTCAATTTGTGGTTTTTCGCTACACCTAGTTGTGCCATTTTGTGTTCGAAAGGATCTCTGCGACCTACCAGTGCTTATTAGTTGGTGAGAAAGATTATTTGTTGAAAGATAACGTCGCATAACTATCAATTGTTTAGTTTATTTAATTTCAATATGGCGTCGGTTAGGAAATTTCTAACTTTTCTGATAAATAGCCCCTAAAAACCCGAACTTCATTCTTCATTAGGTAAGAGAAAATAACCAATAATTATTTTTTGTTTTCATAGTTGATTACATTCTAGGTGTGCAAGTTGAATTGTACTTCAAGAACTTTGGATTTTGGTTCTGTGGTTGTTTTGGTTAGTTAATGGTACCTTTATGAAATTGGAGCACCAAAAAAAAAAAAAAAAGAAAACGCCGAACTCCCCCACTACAACATGCTGCCACTGCCAAACTATGGTTTTCGATGACATGACGGGGCATAAATACTACATTATTTAGGCAAAATTGTCCGTCGGTTATTATTAGTTGATAGATAATCAATATAAGTAGGTATGCATGTACCTTATTTTTTCAATAAAAAATGTTATTGGAAACTGATGTGCCTACTTAATTTTATAATTTTCAATTATTGTTTTTTTTTTGGAAAAAGTTCTATCTGACTTCCAGAAAATAGAACGAAAATTGAAAATTATTGAATTAGGTCATTTTTAATCCATAATCCTAAAATTCATTCACCTATTAAAGTCATACTAGAAACATATAGAGGATGTTTCTTACACCTGCCCCGGATGTATTAGGTACATCCCGCGTCATCTTAGAAACATCCCTGAGAGATGTTTAAAGGACATCGCAAATGATGACACGGCTGTTGCCTGCAACATCCCAGGGATGTCCCCAGGAAAATAGGGACCTCCCAGGGACGTCTTCATTATCCCTGATGGATGTTTCTGGAATGTTTCTGCGATGTTACTGTGTTATTAGGGTTTGTATAAAAAAGACATAGAAATACATTTTTTCTGAACTGGTTTTAGCAAAGGATTTGTTAAAATTCACAAAATTATCAGGTTTTGAAAGAAAAATTTGAAACGTAGCAACCCTAGTCGAAAAATGTAGTAACCCTAACGCAATTTAACGTTTCAAAGTAGGCCCTATAGTTTTTGACAGTTAATTTAAAATGGCTGGGTTATTTCCAAGACCTACTTGATTTGATAAATTTTTTGCTTACAGTTATCTGTATTACCGACATAGAATTCCACTTTTATGACGTCAGGTTGCCTAGCAATAGTGATAATTGCCTGTAGTATACGCGATAAATAGATCGCGGGTGACGTCATGAAAATAGAATAGACCTATCTCGCATGATTAGAAAAAGAGAGCTTAATTGTAATAAATACAAGTTAGAAAGCAATAAAAGATGACATGCGCGCGCAACTCGTAGGCTGCAGTGTAGCCAGATTGTATTGTTGCAGAATAAATGTAGACAATACAAATCGAATATTATAACATTAAAGAAGTGATATAGTATCAAGTGTTTTACAATGCCTTATATCAGACAAAAAAAGAGTTTTAAAGTGGATGAACATCGTTTGCACTTTTATTTTGATAAATGTTTCCTCCGGCAACATCGCTCAATGAAATTGCAAAGGAATATGTCAAGTATAATCTTAAACGAAACTGCGGTGAGTTCAAGTAATATGTAAAGAATTAGTTTGCTCTTTGTCAAATTACACATTACAAATAAAGAAGGAACAATTCATTCTGAACTGGCCCCTGAATAAGAATATGACGCAAGCCTGTCACAAACTTGCTTCTCATTGGACGCTCACCTGCAGCCTACAAGCGACGCGCGCAGTCCAGGTAATAGGAGATAGGTCTATTCCACTTGTCATGATCCCAGTCCAGGATTGCTTCAAGCAGTGGCGGCTCGTGACTATTTCAAGTGAGGAAGCTAAAAGATTTTAAAGATTTTCAGTGATTTTGAGTAGATCTTACGAGTTTTTCTGGGATTTTGACCAACTTGTATACAAATTTTCACAGTGGCGGCTCGTCAGAGGAGGCAGGGGAGGCTAAGCCTCCCTCAATAAATTGACAATTCAATCTCAGTTTTTTATTTCTCATTCCTAATTAAAATAATAATTCACAAATTACACTTTCCAAATTTCGATATTTCAATGTATTTTAGAAAAATCTGACAACATTATTTCAATCAATCCCGCGCCTCCACGACAAAAATTTGTGAATTTGGGATACTCAGTAATACCGGCCCGAAGGGCCGGAGTTATATGCGAGCCCGAAGGGCCGGAGTTATATGCGAGCCCGAAGGGCCGGAGTTATATGCGAGCCCGAAGGGCCGGAGTTATATGCGAGCCCGAAGGGCCGGAGTTATATGCGAGCCCGAAGGGCCGGAGTTATATGCGAGCCCGAAGGGTCTTTAATTCTATTGGTCAGTGGATAATTTGGGTGGATAATTTGGAGGCAATCAAAAATCGGGAATATTCAAAATGTGATTTTTAGTTGATATTCCGAGTTTCAGTTCTCTCCGATGTCAGGGCCGGTTCTAGCTCTTTGGCCGCCCTCGTGCAAGAGCTTGTTTTGCCGCCCCCCCCATGAGAAACTTTTTGCTTTGAGGGAAGGACATTTTTCATAATATTCTATTTCTGGATTTGAAAAAAAAACATATGGCAACACTGCTCATGATACAACAAACGTCAAAAAATTTAAATTTCAAAGTAGGCCTTGTTTTTTTTTTGACAATTCATACAAAATGACGTCTTGAAGGTTACAAGCCTGAAGGGCTAGAATATTAAAATCGCTTGACAATGAACGGGCTCGTATAACTCCGGCCCTTCACGCTCGTGATTAAAATAACTCCGGCTTGTCGGTTCCTATAACTCCGGCCCTTCGGGCTCGCATATAACTCCAGCCCTTCGGGCTGGCATTTAACTTCGACCCTTCGGGCTCTCATATAACTCCGGCCCTTGGGGTTCGCATGATTCCAGCCCTTTGGACTCGTATAACTCCGGCCCTTTGAGTTCATAATTGAGATAACCTCAGCCTTCCAGAATCGAGATTCGAAAAAAAACATATGGCAACACGGCTTATAATACAACAAACGTCAAAAAATTGGCCCTGTTTGGCTACTTTTTACGTATTCGCCGAGGCTAAATCTATATGTCTATGTGAGTTTTTTTTTTAAATTTTGACAACTGTCAATGTCAAAAAATTTTACCTTTTCTTTTTTTCAAAAACCAACCGTCTGGCAACGCCGAACGTCTTTTTTGACATATGTTAAAAAAAAAAATGGTACTTCCTACGTATTCGCCGCGGCTAAATCTATATGCCCATTAAAATTCTGACAGCTGTCAATCTCAAAAAAAAAATTCCTTTGTTTTTTCCAAAAAACAAAGGTCGTTTTTCAGTGGATTTCAGGGTGAGATTTATGTAACAACATGTAGCAACAGTTGGTACAAAAAATTCAATTTCCCGTCGGGTTTGGAATTCGAATTTTTGAATTTTCCTGGCTCCTGATTGGTTCGGGGATTCGAATTTTCATTATTCCCGGCTCTTGATTGGCTTTGAATTTTGAATATTCCCGTCTTTTGATTGGCTTTAAAATAACCTATAATCTCGGCCCGTCGAGCTCGAGATTTGAAAAAAAACATATGGCAACACTGCTTATCATGATACAACAAACGTCAAAAAATTGAAATTTCAAACCTAGAGTCTTTTTGACAATCGATACAAAATTACGTCTTTTTGTTTCAAAGATTACGGCCCGAAGGGCCGGAGTATTAAAATCAGTTGACAATGAACGGATTCGTTCGGATAAAACTTTTGTCAATATCGACAGATGTCACCTGTAAATTATCCGCTGACCAATAGAATTATAGACTGAGCCCCCCGTGATTAAAATAACTCTAGCCCTTAGGGCTTGCATATAACTCTGGCCCTTCGGGCTCGCGTATAACTCCGTATCTTCGGGCTCGCGTATAATTTTGGTCCTTTGGGCTCGTGTATAACTCCGGCCCTTCGGGCTCGCGTACAACTCTAGCCCTTCGCGCTCGTATTACTCCGGCCCTTCGGGCTCGCATATAACTCCGGCCCTTCGGGCTCGCATATAACTCCGGCCCTTCGGACTCGCATATAACTCCGGCCCTTCGGGCTCGCATATAACTCCGGCCCTTCGGGCTCGCATATAACTCCGGCCCTTCGGGCTCGCATATAACTACGGCCCTTCGGACTCGCATATAACTCCGGCCCTTCGGGCTCGCATATAACTCCGGCCCTTCGGGCTCGCATATAACTCCGGCCCTTCGGGCTCGCATATAACTCCGGCCCTTCGGGCTCGCATATAACTCCGGCCCTTCGGGCTCATATATAACTCCGGCCCTTTGGGCCGGTATTAGTGAGTATCCCAGATTCACAGATTTTTGTTGTGAGGGCACGGGATTGATTGAAATAATGTTGTCAGATTTTTCTAAATTACATTGAAATATCGAAAATTGGAATTCTGTTGTGTAATTTGTGAATTATTATTTTAATTAGAAGTCAGGAATAAAAAATTGAGATTGAATTTTCAATTTTTTGGGGGAGGTTTTGCCTCCCCTGCCTCCTCTGACGAGCCGCCACTGGCTTCAAGGTTCACTTAGTTTTTGATAAGTAGTAATCTTACCGCTTGTCATAAATGATATTTGACATTTTGCCCAACAGTGTTGTCGATGTTTATATAATTACTGTTATAGAAAATTTGAAATTTGCAAGGCTTACTTGGGCTTTTTTTTTGTATAAATTTGAGCCTCAATGATCGACACAATATTTGTTATAAGTTGTAGTTGGCAACACTGTTTGACAAGGGACAAAGTAGGCATTGCAAAATTTTAAAATTTAAATATGGCGCCCTGTAATATTGACATTGCAATACATACATGTTTCCAAAGCCTACTTGGTTTGATATAAGCCCGTAAGGCGAGAATTTTCCTGAAAAATTAACTTTCAAGATTTCTAGTGATTTTTTTTTTTTAAATCTGGTGATTTTTCATTCCAATTTTTGGTGAATTTAATTTTTTTGACCTGGCAACAGTGGTTTAATTATCTAGTTTAAATCCAACTTTGGGAGAATTTAGTTGCTTCTCTAATTTGATTTTCAGCTCTAGTAGAGAGTCAGCTATAAGATTTTCAAGTTTCTCAGGTTCAATTTCAGTTCTAACAGGCTCAAAATTGGGCATCATATCAGTTACAACTCTAGCATATCAAAAATAAGCCTGATGTAATGTTTGCCCAGCGGATCTGAGTCTACGGCAGGAATTCGGATGTAAATGCGCCATATTGCCACGTTTAATTATTAAAAAGCGAAAATACTAGACATGAAGTATAGTTCATTTGAAAATCCATTTTTTAATAACAAAATATTGATAACAATAATAAAACGCTAAATATTTTAACGTGGTTGTTAGATCTATTCTTATTTCTCCCGATTTCTTCAATTTGATCTACTGTAAAAAATAAACATTTTCTGAATATACCATCCGCTTTTGACAATTTGGCAAGCATCCGTCCTGGATGAACCTGATTGGTGGAGTTTTTTGCAGGATCGCCGTTGTCATGGGGAACCATACGGTTGTCAATGAGCTAACGTCACCTTACGTCTCGCTATTGGCCAGGGCTCACGTCATTTTATCCTCCCATCTTGGAATATCAATTTATATTGAAATATCCAGTGGCGGAGGTTTGGTCATTGCCAATTTTCGTGTACGAGTTGCAATACGATAACACTTCCAAAAAGTTCCGCACGCAGCTGGGTATTTTATGAATGAAATCAGCCATTTTTTTTTACAACTGCATTCCCCTCACCGTTGCCCCGTAGACACAGATTCGCTGGGCAGACATTAGGATTTTCGTGTATTTGTAGTTCAAACATTAATCCCAAGGGAGCCGGTCATACGATTTTTGAGGTTCTCCAGTCATAATTTGGCTCTATGATGTTCTTTTATAGGTTCAATATTGTAGATAGGATTCTCGTGCCTTTCTAGTTCAAATTTCTGCTCTAGGAGGGCTGGATTTAAGATTTCCAGTTGAAAATGAATCATCACAGGTGAAGATGTAACTTCCAGATGTCCCTAAGTTTACTGTTGATGGTCAAAGAAGTCCCTATTTCCAAAATAGGGACTGGTAACCATATATCAAGGTTAAAAACAACGCTTTAATCCATTCTCGTTTTTTAGGGAAAAGTTTGGCTGGATGATGAAGTGAATAATGAATTTATTATAATTGAAATCAAGGGGTGAAAGTTGCTCTGACACTTGGTCACCGCTTCTTTTGTAGATTTTGATTTTATTGTACATTCTATTCCAACGTTGTAATACATTCATACAGGAACTTGATGATATTACGTACTTAGGACTTACATTTTAATTGGTTCTAAGTATACTGCAATATTATGAGAAATCTCATTCCAAATGGTTTAAATTGTACCATATAAAATATAAATTTTGCAATTTTCTTTATTCGTTGTGTGTGATTGTTGTGTGGCTATAACTAGGTGTGCACGTGTGCCGTTCGAAATTGCCTGGAGTGTAAAGAACGGAGCCGACCGCACCACGCTATTGCACCCCAATCACAAATTGCAAGTCACAAGGCCGCCCATTTGCAGTCGTTCATTAGAGGCGTCCAAAATTCACCAAAGGTATTGTAAAAAAACAACAAAATTCTCAATATTTTGATTACTAAATCCCTATATATAATAATGTAATTATTCTCCATATATAGAATATGGCTGATAATCTGGCTAACCAATCAAGTCCTGTCAAAGATGTTGAAAAGCTGTTGCAAGATATGGATGTCAATAGGCTAAGGGCTGTTATATACAGAGATGTGGTGGGTACTTTGTACATTGGCCTTATGTAAATTATTAATCTAAATTTTTAGGAGGAAACAAAACAAGCTCAATTCCTATCCCTTGCCATAGTTTACTTCATATCTGTACTGATGGTGTCCAAATACAGGGACATACTTGAACCACCTGTATCCATAAGGGCGCCGAGTCCAGTGCCAGTGAGAAGTAATGGAACTTCGCATAATTCTGGAAGTCCACAAGGTCAGTTAGTTTACCATGGAACATTCTTGAAGGCCGGAAGCTTAATTAGAAGTTCAAACAACAGTTGCAGAAAACTGAAACCATAATAGGTGTTTTTCTTTCTCTTTCTCACTATTGAATTTTGATTCATTGGTCAATAATTAGAATTTGTACTATTACCGGGTCTTGGCTTGGAACAGTAGAAAAAAAAACACCTTAATAGACTATCACCATATTATCACAAATACCACGCTTTTTTAGAATCGATTTTGAAATTGCCGCCACGCCATCTCTACTTGTATTACATAAACTCGAATTTATATAGAGCCTCTGAATCAATAATTGATCTAATTGAATTTTTTTTCCTTTTTACTTAACATGCAGAAGGGAGCGCGCGTCCTTTATTCCCTCAATGGTCGCACCACGTCTATCCCCAATTCCTGCCTGGTTCCCATCCCAATGCCGTTTCGCATACGAACTATATGCGTCACAGGCACCACTCCTACTCCAAACACAACCATTACAATTTGAATAACAACCATCACTCCCACTACCATAATCACAAAATCGACCATCGGTACCATCGAAACTCTTTGGGTACCAGAACAGGTAAATACCTTGTTTGGCTATTTGCACGCTTACCATCACCCAACATTATTATTTTTTGGATTTTGTTAATACAGCTGCATTTTTTTTTTTATTATTATGAAAACCCATATGCATGCCCTATAGCTTGTAGCAATTTACTTCAAAACAATCAAGTTACTGAATTTAGGTTCCACCAAAGCTATACACCATCATGCGCAAGATGACGGGGATTATGACGTCATTACAGCTTACGTCATGGAAGACTCGAATTCTTTGCATCATGAAAACGAGTTGCATTCAGGGCCTGCATCAATTAAGGTACGATTCATTACTAAACGCCTTGATGTAGATAGTTTTTAGTAAAGTCTAGACATTTTCTGAGTTTTTAGGATTAGGTTATTACTATGAACATTTTTGTGTGCTAGAAGTGTGGATTTATTGTAAATAATTTAATAATTACAAAGGACCCTGCCCAAAGTATACGGAGATTGTGTTTATGTCACTGAATTTTGTATATAATGTAGATCACGCCTTCCTGATTAAAAGTTACCATTGCATCAATCCTGAAAAGTGATTCGTTTTTGAGAAAATTAATTTTATAAGTAGCAAGTAAAATGCTTGGACATTGTAATGAATGTATATACAAATAGGTGGATTATTGCGAAACTTATCGGTGGACCTCTGCGGGACGAGCGCAGCGAGTTCCGCAGCCATCTACTCACCAATATACTGTTGAACTATTCAAGTAAGGCATTTACCTGAAACGTGTAGTTTTCGAACTAATGAGAAAAATTTACAACTGAGTGAATCAAGTTAGTATTGTACTTGAACAACATATTGGTGAATAGATGGCTGGGTCCACCCATAAGTTCCACAACAATCCACTCGTTTATACTTGAACAATTTGTCACAATATATTACTAGTTTAGTAAAGTAACATTAATAATTTCTGTTGAAAGGCAAATTGACAAAAAGTGGATAATCTTACAAATTTTATGTAATAAGTTATTGTTTAAGAACAAATAAGTGGATTGTTGTGGAACTTATGGGTGGACCTCTGCGGGACGAGCGCAGCGAGTTCCGCAGCCATCTGATCACCAATATACTGTTGAACTGTTCAAGTAAGACATTCACCTGAAACGTGTAGTGTTTAAACTAATGAGAATAACGCACATTTGAGTGAGCCAGTTTAGTATCGTAATTAAACAACATATTGATGAATAGATGGCTGCGGAACTTGCTGCGCTCGTCCCGCAGAGGTCCACCCACAAGCTCAGGAAATCTGTTGGCCAGAGATTCTGAGGCCAGAGACATGGCTCTAGGGAAAAAAGAGTTTTTACTATAGTTAGTACGACAAAATGTTACATTAAAGAACAGATGATTTCGAGTATTAACCCGAGGAACATTTAGAGTAATTTACCAGTGAGTTACGGACAATCAATCATTGAATTGAACACTCTAAAAAGACAATGAAGATCATGGAGATCCTTGCGAGTCTCCAATGGAAGGAGATTCAACTCTCGATAAAGTACAGGATATGTGCTCTCATTGTTGAAAAATTTGTAGTTAATATGGCGAAGAAACTTTCTCTGAACTCTCTCGATTCTTGAAGAATGTATTTGATAGTATGAAGTCCACACAGAGGACGCGTATTCTAGATGAGACCTAACAAGTCTGCAAAAAAGAATCTTAAGCGTACGGATGGAGGCAAAATCACGAGTGTTCCTCTTTATGAACCCGAGCATCCTAAAAGCTTTGTTCACTATGACAGTAATGTGATCAACATAAGAGAGTTCAGGGTTAAGCATGATATCATCAAGGTCCTTTATAGTTTCAGTTGTTGTAAGAGCGTCATCCTTAATGAGATAATCAAAGTTAGTTTTTACTCGTTTTCGTAAAAAAATCATGAGATTACACTTGGACGCATTCCACAAATCCATTTAGGTCGCGCTGAAGGTCCAGACAGTCAGCAGGGCTGGAAATGACTCTAAATGCCTTTAGATCATCTGCAAATAAAAGGATGCTGCAAGAAACAAATCAAGATGCCGCATCATTCATAAAGATATTGAAAATTAGTCGAGCCAGTACCAGATGTGAACCTTGTGGAACTCCAGAGGTCACTGGTATTTCACGAGATACAAAATTGTTAACCCTGACCTTCTGGACTCGACCAATCATCTCAGTCCGAATCCAGTTGAGCATTGGACCAGAGATCCCACATATTCTCAGTTTGTTGAGCATGATGTTGTGAGGAACTTTATCAAAAGCCTTAGCGAAATCTGTATATATTGAGTGAACCTCCAGTCCCCTTTCCAGTGTCCCTGCAATACTAGATATGTAGGAAATGAGATTCGATTCCGTACTTCGACCAGCACAGAAGCCAAACTGTTCGTTAATTATCAAAGGTGATAGCATTGATGAAAGAAATCTCGCCACTGTACCATTTCCCACCATTATTTCATACCAGTGAAATTTGATTTCAAATTAATGAAAACTAAATTCACACCAGTGAAACCTAACTTCACTCAAATGAAAATTGATTTCAAAGTAACGAAAACTAATTTCTCACATACGAAATTTAATTTCACATTTCTGAAAATGGATCGCTAAAATGGATTTCAAACTGACCCTAATTAATATTCATTTTTCAAACATATTTTAATTTGGAAAAATAGCAACAACATATTTATTTCACTCTAATGAAATAGACCCAATGTGTTTGGATAACATATTAAATACAATCATGAATTAACAATAATCATTCTAGATTATTTAAATAAGTTAAAATTCAGTTTCGCAAATCACATGGAAATGGAAAAGTATTATGTAGGTAGCTGTTTTAAGAGCGAGAAGACTTAACTGAAGTTCAATCTATTAAGATATTTTATAATTATTATTGTTGTTTCATGATTGTATTTTATGTTATGTAAATTCACTGGGGTTATTTCATTAGGGTGAAATAAATAACATTGTTGATATTTTTTCAAATTAAAATAATAAATATTTGAAAAATGGGTATTGAAATCCATTTTCGAAAATGTGAAACTGATTTCGTTTGTGAAAAATAAGTTTTCGTTACTTTGAAATAAATTTGCATTTGAGCGAAATTAGATTTCACTAATATGAATTCAGTTTTCATTAACTTGAAATCAAATTTCACTAGTGTAAAATAATGCTGGAAATGGTATAGTTTCTCAAACAATTTTGGTATTGCACTCATAATACTGATAGTTTTTTATATTAGATCTATCACCTGATTTATGGATAGGAATGACTGAAGTAGCCAGAGTTCAAAGATTGATTAAAAATTCTATGAAGAGGTCTAGAAAGAATAAATGCACAGTTTCTTAAGAAAATTGGATGAATATTGTCTGGACCAGGTCCCTTAGATACATCCAAACCAGCCAGTTCGGTGTAGATATCAGATATGAGCACATTGTGATTTGTAATATTAATGTCATTGAAAGAAAAGTCTGCCTGGTGTTCAGGCTGGTTTGGAGCATAAACGGAGCCAAAGTATCGAGCAAACAGATCGGCCGTCCCGACACCCATCTCAGAGTGCTCATCATCTAGATAGAGATCCGATGGAATGGCGGATGAATTACGTTTAGAATTTACAAAGTTCCAGAATTGTCTTGGATTGCCATTCAGTTCAGTCTCAATGTTTTGTATATAGCCTTTATAACACTGGTTAGACATCAATTCACATTGAGAACGTAAGTTAGAAAATATTATGTAGTTATGCTGGTTTGGGTTGAACTTGTAGATTTTATGAGCAATTTTTTTCTCACAAGTGAGGCTTATGAGTTCTCGAGAGAACCAGATGGGGATTTTTTTACTGGCCACCTTTTTTAAAGGAACAAAAGCCTGAATTACATTATTTAAGACTTCATAAAAAGTATTTACCATTTCATGCATATCAAGACAACAGAGAATTGAGTCCCAGTCAACCAGTCCCAAATATTCATTAATAATTGCATAGTCGGCTGAATTAAAATCCGAATAAAAAGTGTTTGCCTGAGGACTAATTGAAATATGTTCATTTTTTGACACTAAAATATTAAATGAAAGGGGCGGATGATGACTATCAATCTTAACAAGTGGATCACAGTTCTGAATATCAAATATCTTATTAGAAAAAACTAAATCTAAAATCACATCATTACCATTTTGTATGGTGTTAAGCTGGAAGAAACCATGGTAGGTATGCACATATATCCGAGATTGCAGAAATTTTTCCAATAGTTTGTGGAGACATATAAACATCTATTTCTTGACGAGGGATAGCTATGGAAGAGTCGACAGTATTAATCAATGTGGCTTTAGGAATGTTGAAGTCTTCAGTAATACAAATATCAGTGCTTGGATATGAGTCACTTAAGCGTGTCAATGGTCTCACCTGATAGAACATATTTTTTAGTTGGAGAATTTGGTGGAAGATAAATGCAGCCAAGAATACACAATGGTTTTCCTGATCCGATTTTCACAAAAATCTGTTCTATGTAGTTCAGGAGTAGTTGGCACGAGAATACATGTAATGGATTTGCGGATTGCAATTAAACAGCCTCCCATTGTTTTCTTATCACTGGTTTCAGTGGATCTGTCCCTCCTGAAAACGTTATAGTTGTTCAAGCCCAATTCATTATCGGAAATGTCATCTGATAGATTTGTTTCTGTAAGTAAGATTGCATCGTAGTTGTTTGTGGAAACATTGCATATAAGAGTGGTAAGTTTGCCACGTAGTCCCCTCACATTTTGGTAGTAAACATGTAGTTTACTTTTAAATTTAAATTTTGAATTTTGGCCGTCAATTATTCCTCGTCGGAAACAATTCGAGGAGTGCCCTTGATGTAGTTGACTTTAAGTGAGTTTTCGCCTTTCGCCTTTCTTTCATTAAATTCAGCTCAAATTTTCTCTTCAGTTTGTTGTTGTTTAACAGTCAGGTCAAAACTCATATACACTTTCTTACCAATGAGTTTATTTCAGTTTCGGATCAGTAAATGTACATCATTTTTGCAGCTTAATGTGATTCTTATTGCACAGGCTCCTTTGCTATTCTTTTTACCAACTTTGGAAAATTTGACAATAGTAGGTGGAGCATCCGTAATGCTACTTAGCAAAGATGCAATATCACTGGCATCGTCCTGTTTTTCAGGTAGATTAAAGAGCATGATGTTGGTGGCTCTGCTTTGACGGTCCTGCACTTCTTGTAGCATTGAATCCATATCTACAGGTTGAGGCAAGGCAAAAGAGCTGTCTCTGCCATTGCTAGGAGATTTGCTTTTATCTAAATCGCAGATTTTTTGTTCTAGACCTTT